TTACATATCTTGAAAAGCCTGTTTCATGAAGTCATGTGCCAATTAATACATAGATATGGGGGGGGGGCATATTGGCCTCTGCTTGCTTTTTATGTTTATTTGTAGCAAATGGAATAAAGGATCATGTAAGGGTGCTTTCCCAGAGATTTAGATCGATCTAGAGATTAAGATTTAGATCGACCTAACTCCCTGGGGGTTCACGCTAAATTGCAGTCAGCCGAGCGGGCACCATAGATAATTACCCCCTTACAGCTTTTAGTAGGCGGGACAGACGCTTAAGCCGGCCAAGCTGACAGTAATCTAGTGAGACTCCCCACAGGGATAGATCAATCTAAAAATCTATGGAAATGGGGTGTAATAGTGATTACTTGAGCACTAAATGCTTTATTTTCTCATGTTGAGCAAATCAGTTCAGTATTTAATCCTTTGAAATAATTAGAAGTAAAAAGAGTCTTTTTTTCCTTTCCATTAGGAAAATGGACTATATATTGCACAGTGTACCTCCTTTATCTATGAGCATAAACATGAAAATGCAAATAAGAATAAAAAGGATAATAATGGATGTAAAAAAGTAGCATATGATAGAATATAGAAATATAGTTGAAAAGTAATAATGACACAGCCCTCACAATTCTCCCTCATCACCTCAGAACAGCTAACACATTATTGTACCACCAGCGTAGGCACTGGCGGTACACATGGTTTTAGTCCCGAACCGCATGTTCCACCGGCTCCTCTGGCTCCGCCGCCATCTCACCGTTACCACTTCTCCTCCTTGACGGTAAGGGTCTCTGTACCCATCTCTTGGATTTAGGTCACCTATAATCTCAAATCATTCCACATAAAATTTGGGCTTTGTCGGTATTGGGGTCTAGGTGTGGCACTCATTGCAATGCACCCTTGTCCAAAAATGGCAAAATTAAATGCTAATTATCTACCCTACAGAAGGAATTATGGGAAAAATTTCTACAGACGGCTTTCCAAAAGTCATATGTGTAGATTTCAAATATGCCCTTGGATTTGACCTTTGACCTGTATTTCAAGGTCAAACAGGCCAAAATTTTCAAAAAAATGAAATTTTTTACGAAAAAAAAATTTGCCCTGTTATTCAGACACTACACAGACTTAACCAATAATATTATTGGAAAGTGTTATCCTTCAGGTCATATTTCATCTCTGTGAATTTGGGGTCAATCGGTGCATTTTCACGGGAGTTGCGGCCATAAGATACCGAAACTGAAAACTGTCTCTAATTCGGGAACCGTTAATGCTAGAGACCCATTCTTTTTTGCATTTTGTAGAGCATGTAAAGCCCAACACCGAAGGTGGCCTCCGTTTTTTCCTATTCCATACGCTTTTCGAGTTACGCTGTATCAAAAAGTACATATTGGTGGTGAAAACAAAATGTGCAGTACGGTAATGGATAATAAATTTTGAACCCTGGAAAATAAAACATAAGGCTTGGTGAGGCAGACAATTTCTGGTCAAAAATGACATTATTTCATGAAATTTGAACATCTGGAACTTCTGAGCACCTCCCATTTCAAGAATTTCAACCAAAATGACCTTTTCTTTATTTTAATTATTTTTTTCTGTAGGAAATTTATGGCACATTATTGTAACTCCAAAATTATAACATTTAGTCCCTTATATCTCCAAAACTGGCAGAGATAGGTCCATAGTTACTATTGAACTTGAATAGGAAGTCATATACTGGCAATCTAAATGTGTCCTTGAAATTGACCTTTGACCTTCTTTTCATCATGAACTTGAACTTTACAAATTTTGGTTCCCTTTTATCTCCAAAACTGGCAGAGATAGGTCCATAGTTACTATTGAACTTGAATAGGAAGTCATATACTGGCAATCTAAATGTGACCTTAAAATTGACCTTTGACCTACTTTTCACCATGAACTGAACTTTGCAAATTTTGCTTCCCTTTTATCTCCAAAACTGGCAGAGATAGGTCCATAGTTACTATTGAACTTGAATAGGAAGTCATATACTGGCAATCTAAATGTGACCTTGAAATTAACCTTTGACCTACTTTTCATCATGGTCTTGAACTTTGCAAATTTTGGTTCCCTTTTATCTCCAAAACTGGCAGAGATAGGTCCATAGTTACTATTGAACTTGAATAGGAAGTCATATGTTGGCAATCTAAATGTGACCTTGAAATTAACCTTTGACCTACTTTTCATCATGGACTTGAACTTTGCAAATTTTGGTACCCTTTTATCTCCAAAACTGGCAGAGATAGGTCCATAGTTACTATTGAACTTGAATAGGAAGTCATATACTGGAAATTTACTTAAATTGACCTTTGACCTACCTTACGATGAACTGAACTTTGATTGTACCATTTTTAGTTATATATATATTTTTTGCATATTTTGAGAATTCTTGTTGATTGCATTTTTTACAGCTTGTCAAGCACAAGACTGGTGGTGGTGTCCCTTTTTTTGTGGGGGGGTCTATACAACTGCGCTTACTCCAGCTGGTGGTACAATATTCGGAGGCAGTATCGCCTCTCTGATCCTCTAGTTTTACTCTAGCTTTGCCCTTGTACATAATGGCTTTTTTTTTCAAATGTCTATTTTTGCTGCTAATGAGTATGTTTATTGTTGATAGTTTGTAATCATAACTTTTAATCTATTAAAATTTCAACACTAAACTCTTGATTAAAAAATAATCAAAGATGTTAACAAGTGCCATTTTTTAAAATATATTATATACTATTAGATTTTTCACAACTAAATATTGTTATATAGATTTTAACAATTATTATCACCATTTTTTCTTTTTCAGATCTTATGTATCGTAGTTCTATTGACTCTTTAGACGGTGCTCGGAGGGAATGGGAGAAAGAAATGGAATTGGCATGCAATGTAATATATATGGAATGGCTTTTAGGAATGACTAATTTTTAAGTTATGACTAAAACATTTTAAACATATACTATAATCACTGGTGTTTTCAAAAATCTTTTTATTAAGTTAATTATAAGTGTTTCGTGAGAAGTCAAGTGTATTTTGTTATCATTCATCAAAGATTAAACACAAAATGAAAGCTCTGTCATTATTAACTGCCCGGATTTTTTTATTGGCCTGCAGGTAACACAAAAAATGGAGGAGGAGAGAATAGGTTTTTTGAGGAATGAGCTGTGGATGCATATAAACTTTATCTCTCAGTTATGTGTGGAAGTTGATGATGTAAGTAAAGAACACCTTCTCCCTCTCTTTTACCTGCATTGCCAAGCAGGTCTATAAGGCAACCTTTTAATATTCTTCTGACATTTTTCTAAAGAGAAATTTCCACAACAGGTTTTCATTGGTTCATTCTCTCTCTCTCTCTCTCTCTCTCTCTCTCTCTCTCTCTCTCTCCAACATTATATTCATTAATAGAAATGTTCACGTTACAGCATTGTGAAGTTGTTCGATTGAGCCTAGAAAAGTGTGAAGAAGAAGCAGACATTATTGCCTTTATTGAAGACAAGAAAACTGGGACACGTAGACCAGGTAACAGAAATATTTCAATTCTTATTCTATTCATTTTGATTGGTAAATTGGGCATATTGTTATTTCATGTTAGAACCAGTCATTGGTGTGCTGCAGAAAAGTGTGACATTCAATGTGAGAAATGGAACAAAATGACACCTCATTTTGTCTTCTGTTTCTGATACTTATATTGATCATCATGGTATTGTAGACCCAATTGTATATGAGAGGTATCAGCAGTCATGGGGTGGAAATGGAAACAGAGTGACAACATTAAGCCGTCGTCCACCTGAGCCTCTTCCTGGTGATAACCGCCACTACGACTTTCGCACAATGCCAAATCCCAAGAGGCCGCCACCACCAGTAGGAGTATCTTCGGCAACTTTCTTTGTTTCAGAAGGAACCGGTAATTATAATAAATCCCTGTTCATCAGCAAAAAATTTCATCAGCTGTGTTGTGGACTCAAAGTTGCAATAATAGTTTCTTCAAACAACAGGTAAACTTACCACTCCAATATTTGAGTTTTTCAGCACACAATTTTTACAGAGAGTGGAGGGAAAGGGGGCAACTGCAGTCCTAGGTAGGGGTTACTATAGAACCTATAGCCTCAGTTCATGATGAAGGCTTCTTGTGAGACATTGAAATATTGGAGGGATAATAACTCTGATTTTTAGGTGTTGTTTGAAGAATTTTTATTGTAAAGTTAAATTTTTGTTATGTATATCTTGTGAAAATTGATTACGAACTTGTAAGAACATCAATGTTTTTTTAGTGGGTAGTGCTTAACTATTGTGGAAACTGATGCTGACTTTTGTTTTTAGTTTGTTTGTTTTTTTTACTCCATATATCACGTTGTTGTTGTAATCATTGCTTTGCTGTAAGTTGTTATACAGTATTTCATAATGTTACATTTAAGTAAGCTTTCCAGTCTGACTTTTGATTTCTTTGGTATTTATTCTTTTAAATGTAAAATTATATGAACTTCAATGGCTCTGAACATGCATGCTAAATTCTGAGGCTAAGAATCACATTTCTTCAACTTTTTATATTGCTTTTGCAGGGCTCATTTCCTTTCATTTTTNTTTTTTTGCATTTCTCACCTACCAGAGAAGATGCTGAATGATCAGTCAATAATTGTAAGGCTAATCATTCAAACTCTGTCAATTAATCCATGACCATATAAATCCAACTTCCACCTAAGTTGAAAACTTGGCCTGGGGGAGAGGTGACAATTTTATGATGATCACTGATATGATCCAGTCTGGGAATCATGCCTAAAACCTCCTACGCTACAAAGAAGCACTTTACCAGTTAGTCATCAAGTACGGCAATGTCTACGTACCAAATAAAATTAGAGTTAAATATGAAGTTTTTTTTATTCAAATATGCTTAAGAAACTAATTTAATAGGACACTTATACAGTACCTTCATGTAAAATGCATTTCTTGATTTCAGTTCTACACAATGGGCACACAGTGTCTGTGGAACTGGAGTTGGCGATCTGACGCAGACAGCTCTCGCAGAAAACATGGCGACAAGGGTAACATGAGTGTGGCCTGTAGTACAGGTCCAGGCATATGGAACATGTCAAGCCCTCCATTTGTTTGATCAACTCAAGATCTCCTAGCTGAAGAAATGAAAATAAATCGCAAACAATTGATAATTTAGACTGCTTAATTTCTTTTAAACTTGCAATAGATCTAAAAACAATACAAAATCATATTTTAAAGTTACATGCAGTTACTAGTAAATTTACCAACTCCAGATTTTTAGGTCATTTAGAATCTTTTTTACATCTTCTTAAAATACAAAAACAAAATTCAAGTAATTCAAAGTTACTGTCTGCTCTAAAAAGCTTCATCATAGTAGCAAACTAATATTGGGATAGAGGCAAAAAGCTTCACTCTGCATCAAGATTTGCCGTATCTCAAGTTGGGTCAAAGAAGAGGGTACAAAGGTGCATTTTTCAGAAAAATAACCCAACCCTCCATTGAAAAATCTGGCTACAGGCCTGAAAGTGCAAGTGGGTAATCTTTTATATGCAAGAATTCAACATGTACACCAGATCTTACCTCATTATTTTTCTCATCAACACTGTCACTGCAATCATTGTCACTTTCTTTTCCGCTCTGTACCAGCAGAGTAAAATTATTTTGGCTTGAATGTAAATTGTCACTATTTGTCCACGTTTCATCTGGCTCAGACTGTGAAGTTGGTGAACTACTAGTTTCAAGTATCCATGAGCTCACAGAAGAATCGCTAAGTTCAGAGTCACTTGAATGCAATAAAGTGTCAGAGTTAGTCACAGCTCCCTCCTGTGCACCATGCAACCTATGGGAATCATCACCTGACTGGGATGCACCATTTGCCTCCACTGAAACACCTTGCTGGTTGAATGCGTCTGCATTTCTTTCACTAACAGAATGTTCAGTTCTTTCTCTATTCCTATACCTTAAAGAGGTATTACCACCATCACTAGATGCCTGTATTAAATCACTTTGTAGTAAATGGTCAATGTCATCACTGGCTGCTGATACAATTGCAAGATTCTCACTTCCACCATCTAAATGTACAATGCCACCACTTTCCTCCCTTGTAATAACTGGCCTCTGTGCTAGAGGGGCAGCACTGGGGGTGGACTGTGGCACTGAGACAGGTCTATCTCTGTCCACTCTGTTAGCTGTTAGATATATGAAGGGGTTCATATGCAAACCACAGCTACATCTACTTGGACTGATGAAATCAAAGCCACCTACTTTTCCACCACATTTTGGGCAGGTTAGCTTCCCTTTTGTCCAGCCTCCCTGGAAATATCAAAGACCAAAATCAACATCATTTGTAGTTCTGTTACAGACAAAAAACTTATTAATGAAAACTATATTTTAGTAACATTGAAAAACAGCTATAATATTTAAAAATTCACTAAAAGAACACCCCCTTTCTCTCTATCTCTCTTTTTTACACACACACACACACACACACACACACACACACACACACACACACAAACCAGTAATATTACTGTAGTTACATTTATAAAGTAAAAGGGTGCTTCAAAAAGGGTACGTACGGATAAAATTTAGTCCCAAAATATTACACGTCCCTATACTTCCGTTCCCGATAGATACATAAAGGGAAAACTGAAAAATCGTCTTTTTAGATTTAAATACCGATAGATCCGATTTTTTACCACCGTCCTATAAATTTGCGTTCCTATAGATACGACGTCCTCATAAACCCACGTCCTTTAAATCCGCATACCTATAGATCCATGTATTTTTAGATCCAAATACCGATAGATCCATTACAGGTACACTATTGCTCAAAATGGTTGGTATAGGCCTACTACTCAGTACATAAAATGCACTGTTTAAAACGAGAGTACACATATTAATCCTTTCAGCAATTTATTATTCTACTATAGATAGTTTGTACGCAATACTCGGGTAATTTACATTAGGCCTACTAATGCATTATCTGACAGAAATTTATGATTTCACTAGATGTTTTGTTATTTTCATGTTACATTCATTTAGTTTTGATTACGAAGGCTTCTGACAGGAACCTAAGATTATATATTTTTTCATAGCGATTAATCCAAGAAAACACACACACACACACACACACACACCACCCCCGTCAATTAAGAACTCGGCAAAAGTTGATGAAATAATGTTAAGAGTTTTACAAGTAAACCCTTCTTATTTTATACTGTGTATGATTTATTTGGGCATTTCATGAATGATTCTGCCTGATAACTGTCTTGTATACTTGATAGAAATCATTACTGTATGGTTGACAAACATACCCAAAGTTTGCAGGCAAAAATCTGCTGTATATACATAGAAGTTACTTACATCTTGGACATAATAACGAATTTGTGTCGTTTTTATGTCCAAGTAGTTTACATTGATGAAGTTATGTGCGTACATTGCGGAATGGAGTAAATGATAGTAAACGATAGTAAAGACGTGTAGACGCGAACGTAGGCCTACATGTAGGCCTATGTCTTGTTTGAACACCTAATAAATATATAAATAAACTAGAGGATCAGAGAGGCGATACCGCCTCCGGATATTGTACCACCAGCTGGAGTAAGCGCATTCGTATGGACCCCCCCCCTTCCAAAAAGGGACACCATCACCAGTCTTGTGCTTGACAAGCTCTATAAGATGCANGGTGGTACTAATAAATAAATATCAGGTTGTAATTAAGTCATCTCACTGAGTGGGTCAGTCAGTACTCGCATCCAGACTATCTCTCGAAAGCCTCATTCCTGTATCTCAAGTTGATATCGGCATTTTAGCCGATTAATTACGATGTCAGATAGATGGATCTTGCGGTACCTGGATCTAAAGATACGTGGGTTTATAGGAAACTGTTGGTGGATCTATCGGAACGTAAATTTAACGAGACGTAAATCTATTGAGACGTGTATGTATAGAGACGTATCTATCGGGACGAATATTTTATTGGGACGTTTATCTATATGGCGGACCCCTTCAAAAAGAGGATATTTGGATGAAATACAGTTTCATGTTACACTCAATTCTTTATATTATCCATCTCACACAAAGAAAGAAATGACCCGATCTTTAACATGTACAATTACCTTCAAGAGTTGATCCAAAATCCATTGGGGGCCTTCCAAACTGTCCATCTCTCTTAACCATATCAAAGATGAGGAAGTGTTGCAGTCCAAATCTATTGTGGAATAATGATAAAATAAATTTCGTCAATGTTGAACCATATCAATGTCAGTGTGGGCCAAGATACTGTATAAAAGAAATACAATCAAACTCATTGCAGCTTTGAATAAAGGTCAAATTACCAATGAAACTAAGAACAAGATTTACTTTAAAGTTAATATTAATGTTGAAATACTGTCAGAGTACGAAATATATTTATAATCATGCTACTGTACAGTAATGGTACTGTATATGTATGTGCAAGTACATTGTAATATGTGGGTTAATTTACTGTTAGTCTATAAAGCCTTAGGGTCTGGTAGCACAAAAGAACTTAAGCGTCTAGAGTTTTAAAACATGGTAATTCATGGAAGTACATGGTAAGTTGAACGTTAAATGGTGGCACTAGCAAAAGTATAGTAAAAGTACCGGTAGTTGTACATATTCAATGAAATTATTGTATTGTAAGTCTTTCTTGTTTTAAAAGAGTCGCGATATTCCAACTATCTGAACTGCTGCTGAGTCATTTTAGTCAAAAACAGACAATAATTTAGATCGATTTAATTCAGGAATAAGTTCATTTGTAAAACCGGTTTTGGACTATCTTGAACTTTGTGTTAACAACACGTCACCTGATATGTCTCTACTCGAAGTAAGGGTATGTCTGCACATACGGCACTTGTACTTTTCTTCGGTCATGTTACTAGCTACCTTTCAAGCTATCTCACATTACATTGTCTTTCGTTTATTCGGGCAATGTCCAAAAGTATGACAAACGTGTGCCTTTGCAGAGGTTGGCAACTTTTTATGACCTTGACCTTGTTCTGCACTGAATTAAACTTGCAATAACTGTAAATAAAAATATAGAAAGAAACGTTGCAATTTTCCCCCAAACGATGTTGTATTAAAATATTACCAAGTTTTAAGAGTAACTTGACTGACATTTTCTTATTTTGGTGTATACATTAAACTTCCGGGTTCATACAGCACCCTCTTAAAAATCATTTATTTGGGACACAGGATGCAGGATGCAGAAACGTGCAAGCCTATAATTAATGCTGGTAGCAAACTGGTAAAACAAGGCTAGTCAGGAATCACTTATTTTGCTGATTCAAAATAAAGCCGAGAGCTCCACCATTTCATTGTGTTTGTGGAGCATTTTCAATCTGCAAGATGACCAAGCTGAAGAAATTTTCAGACGCTTTTTGGGTGAGTGTTTCTTTCAGCATTAGTCTTAGAGAAGAATGTACATGCACATGTAGTTGTATGTCAGTGCTGTTTATGGAACATTCAGTTTTGCTATATTTTTATGTGTTCTCTAGATTCAGCTGAGATTTCTGTTCAATCTTGGTAATAAAATAATTATGTAAAACACCCACATACATACATATATGCAGTTAAAACGGTAATTTATAAACAAAGCTGGACGAGCAATTACGTACTATTGCTCGGTTTCCAAGAATCGATAATTTTCCCTCTTAGTCATTGTTTCTGAAAGCTTCCCATTTTGCTTTATGTTGTGCATCAAAATCGTTCATGTCTAAAATATAATACTATTAATAATAGTTTGACTGAATCAAAATGGTCTTTTTTAATACAACAATTAAAAATATGATCTTTCCTTGGGTACATTTGTAGGTACAGTGACAAACTTGTCACTGCTTCACATGTGACTGGTTCAATATAAACAGTAAAAGCTAAATTGAACTGGTACAGTACATGGAGCAAATTATATCATTTTAGGGCACAGAGTTTTGCAGCACACTTGGTTTCGATACAGTATGCAGACGACTGAAAGATGGAAGGCAGATGGTCAAAGATGTGGAAGATTTTCTAAAACAGAGGTATCTTGAATTATATCCAAAAATTTTTCAGCAGTTGAAATTCATTTGATTCATTTGCTTTACATGATGTCATGTTTTGAGGTTTAAAATATCCAAAATGAATATTTGCATGAGGAAAGTAAACGTACAAGTTGTAACAACCTGGCAGTAGGTTGATTTCCCTCTCTTCCCCCCCCCCCACCCACCCACACACACACACACACACACACACACACACACACACACACGTACGAGTCCACTGTAATCGTTGAAAATCTATTATCCCAATAAACATATCATAGATATCATAGAATTGCAAAATTGCTTAAGAACATTTGCAGGTAAATAAAGATTAGTTTAGAGCAGTAAAAGTGCATGGGCGGTGTTGCGTTCTTTTGTCTCCCTCTCACATCAACACATAGAAACATAGCAGGTAAAAGCTGACCATACACCTCAGCTTGTCATAGCTAAGCTCCCTAAAGGATAACAATGACTGATAAGTTTTAACTGAAGTTAAATGATTAACATCTTTTGTTGTCATAATGCAGAATGACAATCATTGCTTGAGTAAAGTGCTATCTTCTATTTACTTAATATATGATAATGCTTTTGCCATTGTGTATATATATAGTACTTACCAGTTTAATATTGCAGCCTATAATGATGATGCTTATATACTTTTATAGAGGTCATTTTGAAACATCCATTTTTCCCCTTTTGAGAGATGTTAATAATATTCATTATGTAGTTGTTGTTTTTGTCTTATTAAGAATATTACATTACCTTATTACATTTATTCATTTGTAAGGGCTAAGATTGAGGAAGACTACCAAAAGAATTTAATAAACTTGACGAAGAAAGCAGGAGGTGCAACTGAAAATGGGTAAAGCTATCTACAAGTAGACCTCTTTTATTTTGAAACAGATAACAACAAGTGGATATGTTTTTGTTTCAGTTTGTAACTAGTGCTAGTATGTATATTTATGTTGTGAAAGTGTTGTTTGGTCAGAGCTGATATCTTTGGCCAGATATGATCTATCACAGATTTAATCATCTTATCTACTTAAAATGAAAATCACATGCTATATAGTGAATTGTTCTTTGAAACGCATGTTAATTGAGAAGTTTTAAAATTGATAATAATGGCCCTAACCCCTATAGTTGTATGTCAAATTTCATAACTATCATAGAAGAAAATTACACCATAAGAATATAAGCAAGATGTGACAATTTAGTGATTTATGAAAGAGGGCGGATTAATTTTGATGAAAGAAAACCGCATGCATTAGAGGAAAGGAGAGGAGATTTTCTTAAGTAAATATTCTCATTTTGAGAAACACTTGTTTAATGTTTTGGGCATCCCATCATTTTTTCTATGATGCTGTTTTCCTGCCATTAAACCTTTTCCTCTTTTCATTATGTCCCATGAGGGTATAAAACTGTAGAAACAAAAAAACAAGTGTTAGTTCTGGAACTGAATTGGTAGGAACAGAAACATTTTACCAAGTGTCAACTTGCTACTCATTTCCCTCTAAGGAAGGGGGATGCACTGATTTCCCCTTAAGGAAGCAGATACACTGAGTTAACCTTTATATTATATTGTATTTTACAGTACCCTAAGGGCGTCATGGGAAGAACTGAAGTCTCGCACTGAAGCCATGGCCAATGCTCACTTAGAGTTTAGCCGGGAATTAAATAAAGAAGTGGAAAGATTAAATCAATTCATGACTAAACAAAAAGATGAGAGAAAACAAGTGAGTTTACAAGAAAACTGCACATAAGAAGCAGAATAACAATTTTAATATATAGAAGACCAACATTTTAATGATAAAATATACGATAAATTGTATGATTAAAACAGTGCCGTTTAGAAATGTCCTAAAGTTATATTTTTATCTGTAAAGCTTCAAGATTGTTTTCCCAATTTAGACCCTATAAAGCTAAAAAAAGAATCCCAATTGAAAGTTTATAAGAAGTGTACCTGAAGTCAATATTTCCTTCTGAGCTTTATCCAGCAATTACATTACAAAAAATTGTCTAGCAATCTAAGATACTATGTGCACCATACAAACACAGCATGACAATTTTATTGTTATTAATTAAAAACAAGGTCTAGATTGTTAGAAAGATGGGTGGCAGTCTTTATTGTGGTTCATTTATAACTAAGTTATCTACATAGAATTTTTTTAAAAAAAGCATAGTTACACAGAACTTGCTGTTCTTACCTCTGAAAGATTTCTATTTTAGGTGGAAGATACCATGAAAAAAGTCCAAACTAATAAAATTTCTTTGTACCATAAGACCATTCAGGTAATTTAGTGCCATATATAGTTTTTAATTCCTCTTTCAATACATTAAATGAAGTATTTTGAGACAATGCAGCTAAAGAGCTACTGTATTTTTTGAAGAAATTAACTTGGGAAAGTTACAAAATAAGCTGTCTTACAAGCTCATAAACAAAGGTTTACTGTACACAGAATTGAGTGTGATGTTTTCTGTTGTCTCAATAATTGTGTGAATGTTTGTTTTTATAATTTCAGAGCAAAAAGAACTATGAAAGCAAATGTCGCAATTGCGATGAGGCTCATGAACAATATCTCTCTCTGAATAGTCAGCCAAATATACAAGCTAAGGAAATACAGAAGGTAAGCATTAGTAAAAACAATATCTTACATGCAATTGTTGAGGGCTTTTTTATGAAATAAAATGATCAAAATATAACTATTTGTTAGCATGTTAATGTTTTGCTGCTGTGCTCTTTGTAAATTTGCTAAATTATGTTTACTGTTTCCCCTAAGTGACCCCAAATGTAAGGGGTTCTGAATTGTTATCTCTTTTATATGTATTTACATAGTATAAGTTAGTATATACCGATGTGTACCAGATGCTTCTAAAAAGTAACAAGACTGGGGTCAGAAACAATTTATTTCGACTCAAAGCAACAAACTACATGCTTTCCCTTAAAAATAATACCCTACAAGTCCAGTGCACTTTTCTACCTTTCTCTGCCACTCTTGTATACAGTGCTTTAAGGAATCGTCCAGATGCTCTTGCTGACCCCCTTGGGCTTAGTGGGTGGGGGGCAAAAGGTAATTGATGCAAGATCAGATGAGCAGTACCATGGCCATGTTTGAGCAACCTTATTCATTGGATCTTGCTCTGTGCAGCCATTTTCTTTTTTCCCAACTTCAAGGGGACCTGTTTTGAATACTTGGAGGTCATCAAGAGTACCATAACAAAGAGCCTGAGAAAATTTTGGAAGTCCTTGTAGCAGTGCTTAGAAGCATGGCAGAGAAGAGAGAAAAAGCGCAATTGACTTTAAGAGGGAATTCTTTCAAGATTGAGGAAACTAAGTAGTTTGTTTGCTGAAATTGAAAAAAAATTGTGACACCAGCCAGATCACTTATCAGGCACATAGTATGAATGTATGTGCCATTTATTATAACCTGTTGATTAGTGCCTTAAGAGAGAAACAGAATTTGCATGTTTTTTATATGTGTAAGGTAAATTTATGCTATAATACTGTCTTCTGATGTCGGGGGCTTCTGAAGTAGAATACAAAATTTTAAGTATGAGCTACAGCTGAAATGCAATTATTTTGTAACAGACTACTAGTGCACAGACTAGAGAGCTATAATGCCATGTTAATGCATCATTCAAAATCACATAGAAAACATTTTTTGTAATTTTTTTATTTCTCAACAGTCAAAAACCAAATATGAAAAAGCTAAAACAGAACGGGACCAAGCAGGTAACAAAAACATTTTGATGAACTGGACATTTAAGTTTGTTTTCAGTGGTTGAACATTATAAAAAATCTGTAAGTTGAGGATTTTCACATCTGACTTGTCATGTTCAAGCAAGCTTAAATGGCCAGTTCAGTTTTGTAATTTTAGCTCACATGATATCATGACAGTGTTTACACATCTTGAAAAGCCTGTTTCATGAAGTCATGTGCCGATTAATACATAGATATGGGGGGGGGGGGGGGGCATATTGGCCTCTGCTTGCTTTTTATGTTTATTTGTAGCAAATGGAGTAAAGGACCATGTAATAGTGATTACTTGAGCACTAAATGCTTTATTTTCTCATGTTGAGCAAATCAGTTCAGTATTTAATCCTTTGAAATAATTAGAAGTAAAAAGAGTCTTTTTTTTCCTTTCCATTAGGAAAATGGACTATATATTGCACAGTGTACCTCCTATGAGCATAAACGTGAAAATGCAAATAAGAATAAAAAGGATAATAATGGATGTAAAAAAGTAGCATATGATAGAATATAGAAATATAGTTGAAAAGTAATAATGACACAGACCTCACAATTCTCCCTCATCACCTCAGAACAGCTAACACATTATTTTACTCTAGCTTTGCCCTTGTACATAATGGCTTTTTTTTTTCAAATATCTATTTTTGCTGCTAATGAGTATGTTTATTGTTGATAGTTTGTAATCATAACTTTTAATCTATTAAAATTTCAAAACTAAAACTCAAATTCTTGATTTGACATAATCAAAGATGTTAACAAGTGCCATTTTTTAAAAAATATATTATATACTATTAGATTTTTCACAACTAAATATTGTTATATAGATTTTAACAATTATTATCACCATTTTTTCTTTTTCAGATCTTATGTATCGTAGTTCTATTGACTCTTTAGACGGTGCTCGGAGGGAATGGGAGAAAGAAATGGAATTGGCATGCAATGTAATAAATATGGAATGGCTTTTAGGAATGACTAATTTTTCAGTTATGACTAAAACATTTTAAACATATACTATAATCACTGGTGTTTTCAAAAATCTTTTTATTAAGTTAATTATAAGTGTTTCGTGAGAAGTCAAGTGTATTTTGTTATCATTCATCAAAGATTAAACACAAAATGAAAGCTCTGTCATTATTAACTGCCCTGATTTTTTTATTGGCCTGCAGGTAACACAAAAAATGGAGGAGGAGAGAATAGGTTTTTTGAGGAATGAGCTGTGGATGCATATAAACTTTATCTCTCAGTTATGTGTGGAAGTTGATGATGTAAGTAAAGAACACCTTCTCCCTCTCTTTTACCTGCATTGCAGCCAAGCAGGTCTATAAGGCAACTTTGTAATCTTCTTCTGACATTTTGCTAAAGAGAAATTTCCACAACAGGTTTTCATTGGTTCATGCACTCTCTCTCTCTCTCTCTCTCTCTAACATTATATTCATTAATACAAGTGTTCATGTTACAGCATTGTGAAGTTGTTCGATTGAGCCTAGAAAAGTGTGAAGAAGAAGCAGACATTATGGCCTTTATTGAAGACAAGAAAACTGGGACACGTAGACCAGGTAACAGAAATATTTCAATTCTTATTCTATTAATTTTGATTGGTAAATTGGGACTTGTGAAAGACAATAAAACCTCCCATAATGTTAGAACCAGTCAGTGGTGTGCTGCAGAAAAGTGTGACATTCAATTTGAAAAATGGAACAAAATGACACCTCATTTTGTCTTCTGTTTCTGATACTTATATTGATCATCATGGTATTGTAGACCCAATTGTATATGAGAGGTATCAGCAGTCATGGGGTGGAAATGGAAACAGAGTGACAACATTAAGCCGTCGTCCACCTGAGCCTCTTCCTGGTGATAACCGCCACCATGACTTTCGCACAATGCCAAATCCCAAGAGGCCGCCACCACCAGTAGGAGTATCTTCAGCAACTTTCTTTGTTTCAGAAGGAACCGGTAATTGTAATAAATCCCCGTTCATCAGCAAAAAATTTCATCAGCTATGTTGTGGACTCAAAGTTGCAATAATAGTTTCTTCAAACAATAGGTAAACTCAGAGTTATTACCACTCCAATATTTGAGTTTTTCAGCACACATAATTTTTACAAAGAGTGAAGGGAAAGGGGGCAACTGCAGTCCTAGGCAGGGGTTACTATAGGACCTATAGCCTCAGTCCATGATGAAGGCTTCTTGTGAGACATTGAAATATTAGAGTGATGATAACTCTGATTTTTAGGTGTTGTTTGAAGAATTTTTATTGTAAAGTTAAATTTTTGTTATGTATATCTTGTGAAAATTGATTTGAACTTGTAAAAACATGAATGTTTTTTTAGTGGGTAGTGCTTAACTATTGTGGAAACTGATGCTGACTTTTGTTTTTAGTTTTTTTTTGTTTTTTTTTACTCTATATATCACGTTGTTGTTGTAATCATTGCTTTGGTGTAAGTTATTATACAGTTTTTCATAATGTTACATTTAAGTAAGCTTTCAAGTCTGACTTTTGATTTCTTTGTTATTTATTCTTTTAAATGTAAAATTATATGAACTTCAATGGCTCTGAACATGCATGCTAAATTCTGAGGCTAAGAAAAATCACATTTCTTCAACTTTTTATATTGCTTTTGCAGGGCTCATTTCCTTTCATTTTTAATCAAAGAACTTAAAAATATTACAAGAATTGTTTGGGGGGAGGGGGGGTTAAATTTCAGGTTAAAGGCATTAAAAAGTTTTTTAAATTTTATTTTTATATATTTATTTATTATTTTTTTACTTTTATAATTTAGAATTATTCACTTGGAAATTATAAGGAAAATGTTTCAGTGTTTTGAGGTTTCTTATGCAATGCACAACTTAGTTGGGTGTGGTGAGCACAGCCAGGAAAGAGCACTCAGTTTATTTATAGCTTTTCCCTTTTGCAGACTCAGGTGATGGCTTGTATGCTTCTGTAAATGAAATCTATCCAGACAAACGCAAAACTTACCAAATTATCAAGAAGTTTGAAGCCAAGGTACAATGTGGAGGCTACCGCTTGCTCCCTTTCTTTTCTCTTAATTTTGACTGCTTCATTTATTTACATGTGCTTTTATTTTAGTAGTTAATTGTATTATATGTTTCTGATTCCCATCCCTATGCTTCTTTTTCTTTTCATTGATGTTGTGTCCAATTTTGGCAATAAAAAAATGTCAAAACTGGCAAATGTTCAACTTTCTTAAAGGGTGAAAAAATGTTCTGGGATATTACAAAACTGAGATTATTTCAATTTTTTTTAGATTATGGCTATTTTGTTATCCTAGTTTTATTACCATTCAAATTTATTAGATTAACCTCCCTTCTGTATTTGTCAATTATATTAAGCAGTCCCTTGGGTTATTATTTTTTAATGTTCAGCCAAATTATTAGAAAGCACTTTAGCAAATCTATCAGCAAACTTAGCGCTTATGTTTGTTATCCATTGCTTTCAATAATCCATAAAATGATTGTTTGTTTGTTTATTTATATTAAAATACAGGAATCGTGCAGCTTTTTTCCTGTTTTTAGGACAAAGGCGAGATCACAGTCCTTCAGAATGAGATAGTTGAGATTTTGGACAGAAGACAGGGTTATGTACACGGCAAAGTTTTAAACAGACCACATGCTCACAACGTGAAAGGCTGGTTTCCAGCAGACTGTGTTTCTACTGAAGAAGTTTCACTTATATGATTGTCTCTAAGCTTTGGTTTTAATAACAGGCATTAGGGTTTATAGATAATTATTTAATGCTTTGATGCATGTAGATATGTCTTTCAGTTTATTTAGCCTTAGTTTCAGAAACGACAATGACCAACTTCCTCATTTTTGAATTTCAGTGGTGCCAACTTTTGTTGCCTAAAGTTCAATGACATTTGATTTAAGTCTGCTACTCCAATCCCACATGTCAGACCAGTCTGTTAACTACTTTATTTGTGCTTCTATGGACCCACAAAATCCAAATGATTGGGTGTGCCTCTGTGCTTGAAGGGACAACAACTGTTCCTTGGGCCAGAAAATGGATTTTCCTGGGGTAAACAACATTTTTTCCCAAACTTCCTAATGGTTAATGGATCTGTTCCATCATGCAAAGTTAGTCCCTTTCTTTTGTAATAATCTCTCAAGAGATTGTTACAGAGGGTACCCATCTGTGGAAGTCACCTTGTCCAATGGCAAGCACAGATTCCAGAATAATTGCGATAACTGCCATTTTGGTGGCAAGATAGAATTTATTGTATGTATTTATTGTGAAATATGGATGTTATAAGGAGAGTTGTTATCCCTTTAATGTGGTTAAATCCAGACAAACTTGCTGTTGATGGTCAGAGTCTAATAAATGAGCATGAACAGAGGTTTTGAGAATGAAGAAAATTGGCACACGTAGGATCTGAAGCTCTGGGTAAGTTAATTGGACCCACATCTCTGCATAGACTGTATATCTAATGAAGGAGTGCTATTTATATATTATCTAATAAGATTGTCATGAATAAAGGTACCTTTATGTCATTTATATTACCAGAAGAATGAATGAGCCAGATTTTTTTTTCTCTTTAGAAAATCTGCGTTCGAATTGAGGTGGATAATGTTATTGTTTTCAGAAGAGCTATCTTTTCTGTTATGTTCTCTGTAAACTTTGAAAAAAATCAAATTTTTGGAATAATTCTAAAATGTTCTTGTATCGTGTAATCAATTATTGAAAGAATTGTTTAAAGTGGACATCTCTTATGATGTGATGCTTGTGAAAAATTTCTGTTGAAGAATTTTCAATGCCAAATGAGTCCCCAAAGCTCATATTATTCTTATTAAACCTTCAGGGTGTTGTTTTGTCAAAGATTGACTTAAATATAGTTGAATGTTTATTACCATTCATTCATAATGTATAATTTAAAAGGAAGCAGGTATAACCATGCAACTAAAAAACAAATAATAAGAAATGCTGGACATTTTGTAGATAAGTCATTGATGTATAAGTAATACTTATGTTATAAAGCATTAAGAACACTGAAGAATGTATTATTATCATGTATAATTCTGCTTATCATAATGGTGCCAAGGTATGTATATGTGAGTCAAATATGGCTCATGATGTGTGATTGATTTGTTGGTTATGTCAAAACAGATGTCTGAGAGAGATGCACCATAGCATTAGGTTTTAGAAAAGCAACAAGCATTACCAACTTGCTCATCTGAAAGAAAATTCCAAGCAAGGTGCACTGCAATCAATAAGAAATCAAGGAGTAGTCATTTGAAAGTTATTATACTGATCCGTGGTCATTTTAATGTTATAAGATGCATGTACAACATGCAGTGTCATATCGAACATTCATATATGGAATGGATTTTTTATACACTGTATATTTGGAATATTTAAACTAATGTTTGTCCACATTATCCTTTTATTTATTGTTAAAAGCATGCACTAGTGCAGAGGGAAAACTTTTGACAAAGTGCAATTGTTATGCAAGAAGTCAAATGTCTCCTAAGTTTTTATTTGATAATACTATTATTTCTTAATTACATTCCGACATGGGTTTTGTTTTCTTTGATTATTCAATTCAGTCATGTTTATTTGTTATGGACAACTGTTTTCACTGTGGAATGTGGAATGCCCTTTTATATACACACATCGTAAAGGCTGTACATCTGAAACATTTAATTGGCCAATTTTATTTTAGTTATTGCATGATTTGTGATATTTTGTAATCATTTGTATCAATTGCCCTGTAACAGCCAAATTGTTTTCTGTTTTAGTCAAAATTTTAGGGTTTTTTTTTTTTTTTTTTTTTTTTTTNCAGTGTGAAAGGACATCTAGCCAGGATATGTAGGGGAAAAGAAGAAAATATCTTGGATATTTGAACGGTTTTAATTGCAAATCACTTTGAAGTATTAATATGTCTGTACATATTCAAGCCTGGCTGTCTAGCTTCATTTTGCAAGAATTTGGTAACACATTTGAACAAAATTGATTTCTTTTGTTTCCCTAAGTAAAATATAATTATAATTTAAGCAATACTTGAAAATGTTTTGAAGTACATTGTAGTATAAAGGTGAGCTTGGTGATTTCAGGAAGTAATTGATAAGCTACATGTACAAATGTCAAAATGTAAAAAGACATGCTATTCTAATGAAGAGTTTGAAATTTAAGAGTATTTACTGTTACTTGAGTTAATTTGAGATTATTCCCTTTGCTAATTAACTTCTTTCTTTATTAGTATGTATTTACTTATGCTTACTGGTATTTGTTGTAAAGGGTATCGGTGCATTACCTGCAGCAGATTGTATTCAAAGTCATTTGTATGGGTTTTATCATTTTTAAATTATAATCAATCTAAGATTTGGTCAACATTAAATCTTGACCAGGGATATGAACTTGGTCTTATATCTGAACTTTGATGTAAAAGGGGTGCTCCTTGCACTTTTTAAGTAAAACTTTTTATTCAACTTTTATAGCGTTTGCTTATATATTTTTTAAAAACGTGACAGCACACCTATTACTTGTAATTGATTTCCTTCTTTAATATATGCTTCCAGTTTTCAGGATAAAAAAATTTAAAGTATAAAACTACAATTGCAATAGCTTAGTTAAAATTATACTATTGCTATGGCTTAGTTAAGCCTTGGTCACAACCGGCCGTACGGGCTCTTACGGGCTGTTTGCATCCAAAATTTGTGCAGAATTTCACGTCCCACGCAAGTCCTTCTTACGAAATTTCGAGTTCGCAGACAGCCCATAAGCACGTACGGAAGATGTTGGACATATCTAAAAGATTCTACGAATAGCCTGCGAACAGCGAGGCTGCAAGCGTAACTTGCTCCCCTCGAACGGAGTTAGCAAGAGAGATTTGCGTTTTGCAAGACGCAAGTCGCAAGCAATGAAGGAGCAAGTGCCCTTTGTGTATTGAGTAAGGTGCATGCCCTCACAACAAACGAACAAAGTCGATAGCACACCGGGAATGTGTGGCACGTGCGTCACCCCCACGCCTGGTGTATAAAAGGCTTACTCACGCTCGTGTCTTTACAATGAACATCGACTGTGTAATGTGTACAACAATTTTCAAAATTTTCAAATTTTTGCTCAATTAAGTTTCTAATATGCCTCCAAAAGGCAAAGAGAAAGAAGATTACATAGTAGAAAAAAGGGAGGAGGAAGAAAGAAGAGGAGAACAGGAAGTAAAACTGACGTACGCCGTCAGTATGTCACTACAAATGTGTGAGGCAAGTGTGAAGCAAAACTGACGCAAAAGGGCACTACTTTCGCCGTGCGTTGCATTCCCTTCGTAAGTGGTGAGTGTGTGCCACATACACAGGAAGCAAGACAAACTCAAGAAATTAATACAATTTCTACGGCCATCACTCCTTGCAATTGGCGTACCTGCTTGAAAGGACATCACATGTGGCCCTTGCGACTCGCAAGGCAGACTTTCCTCTACCTCTACGACCTCCACAACACCCAAAAATCGCAGGAGACGTACGATCCTGAAATTTGTGCGTCCGGTTGTGACTGAGGCTTTAAGTTAAAGATTGATTTTAATTATTTGTGAGAAAAATTGAAGAAGGATTTTACTGACGTCTGGTTCCATGAATTGCACAATCTGTAATGCATGGTTTCCCTCATTGGCAATTTGCAAACAAAAAATTAAAGAATTGATTTTAAAAAATATTTGCACATCCCATAACTTAATATGGGATGTGCAAATATTTTTTAAAATCAAATTCTGTGCAAATTAATATTTGCACATCCCATAACTGCACAAATCATTATTTAAAAGCAAAGTGTTGTATCTTTTCGCATACAATTTGTACAAGTTCTTTGCCATGTATATGGAGGAATCGAGGAATTGGTTGAGCAAGCCTATTTCATTTGAGGGGTTTATACTTGGACTAGTCCATTCATTTCATCTTTGGGGTTGTAGTTTGGACAAATTCATTTCATTTCAGGTGTTGTAATATCCAATTTTCGTAAAACCATAACACACACACACAAAAAAAAAAAACAAAAAAACACACCAAAGATTTAAATTTTAATGAAGAGACTTTTAATTGCCAGATATGGTACAAAAAAAAAAAAACTGATCAGTGATGCAGCATTTCCTACAAATATACTTAAAACTTTCTTAACATAGTCCTTTTTGTACTTCACATGGAATGCAATGGTCAGTTTTCACATCGTAACAATTTTTTCATTTTAATTTTTGTCCACCTATAAAGTGTTTACCATTTATTCATAACAATGTTTTTAATATTTACATATACTTGAAACATCGGATTATCATTAGAAACCATTGGGCTTTATAAACCCTTCAAATAAACAACATAAAAGACTGGAAGATGGTTATGATCTTCAACTATGACAGTGGCTTAAAGTAGAACATGTATAAGTGAATAGAATGTGCTCAACTGCCTAAATATAACATCTCTTTCACCCCACCCCCACTTTAAAGTTGGCAGTTTTATCTGCCAGTATTGCAGGTACTCTATAAACATGAAAATACAATAAGATACAATTATATTCTAATGCAACTAAAACAAAGGTAACAGATCAATGCACTGCTGCATGGTACACTACCATGCAGCATTCCTTCAATTTTAACAGCAGCAAACTTAATTAACTCTCTGACATGATTTCCTTCTTCAGGAGTTTCAGCATTAAATATTTTGCTTTTTTGAGCATCCTTATTCTTTCATTCATTTATAATTACAAGATATTCAGTCTATACCTCACACATACATTAATGTTTCATCATATGAGATTGGAGAACAATTATTATTGCATCCCATCACCAGTTTGGTTTGAGTTTATCACATGTGAGATGAAGTTACTCACAGGTCTCTTGCAATTCTGTTTGAAACAAACATTCCTTAATTTCTTCAGACAAGTTCATTATATTTTATTTCCTCATCAAGTCATTTGGCAAAACACCTTATTTCATAGCTAAGAAGTGATCATCATGAAGCACAAAGCAGAAATAAATAACATATCCCAGTACAAAAATCTTATGAAAATGACCCTTAATTTATAAAACATTCACTGTAATTCAATGAACATTTTTTTCATTGTGTGTAAATGCAGCTAGACCTCTTCCATGTCAATCCCGGCTATGTACTTCAGTCTATCTTACAACAAAAAAATTACATGAATATGTTACCCCGTTATCTAACAAATGAGAAATGCATCAGACAAATTAAGGGAGCAAATGTCCTCATGTGCAAATGTGAATCCACACATGCTTCCAAACCCTATGCACCTGGGCATTTCATGTGCATTTATAACAATCAAGCTCTTGTATTTTTTAGCATATCTCAGAGTACCTAATCCAGACTGTCTGCAAAGCTATGGAAAATGTGCTTCAATTTTAATTCAGTGTGGCATCTTACCACCTTATGCTGGCAAAATAAAGGTTTGATTATTGTTAAGCACCATGTTCTTTCCACCATACAGAGAAGCGTGTATTATCTTCATCATCAACATCTCCTTGAGTAAATCCCCGTGAGACATAAAAATGGGACTAGTTCCACGTTGGATCGTACCCTGTCCATGGCATGGGTGGAGTAAGATGGACTCGCCGACCGGCAAACATGAAGCTCACCACTCCTCGATAACCCCCCCTTGGCACCCCAGACTGGAAGTAAACCCATTGAAGTGATTAAGTAACAATTCACAACTTCTGACTTACTGCAATAGTTGAATCATTAAAAAAAATCAATACAGAAGTAATTACATCAGATGTTGCAATTTTCGCTGTCTATATTATCATCATTTTAATTTTTTTTATATGTGACCATGTTCAATGCTTTTGACATTCCAGGATTTCATTCCACAGAATTGATTTTTTTTTCTTTGTTTTTGAGCCATAAAAAAGGTTTATGACTGAAAAAAGATGTTATGAAGTGGGATGAGGGGGAAGGGTGGGGGTAAAAGGATTAATAGTGCACTTACTTTCAAATCATCCATAATCCCCAATGCTTTTGCAATGGATTTGAAATCTGTTTTTGAAGTGTACTGTACCCTGACTGGATGGCTCCCTGAGACACCAGCTTGTAACTGAGCAACACTAACGATTGGACACTCATAAACATCCCTCACAAACTTCACATCATAATTCTCCTGCAACACAGGAACGGAAACTGTTATTTGCCTTCCAGATTAGCATATCCCTGATGTTATAATCTTTCTAATTCTATCAAACAAAACACACAAACTTATCTCAAAAGTTTTTGTTTTTCTTCATTCTACAGATAAAAGCTGCCAAACATATTACAGTAACCATGATTTTCAATAATTAATCAGGTGGGAAATTACCATGTTTATTGTTTTTTACTACACCCAATCACCCAGCTTGTCTGTTGTATGCGATCAAACATTTTAAATCTTTTCCAAGGCTACTTGATAATTCAGCTTAATACAAGGTTCTAATGAAATGTGAACAAAATGCATTAAAACTCAAACAGGTTCATTTTCTCCATCCATACAATTCTTAAAGATATTAAATCACAGAAACTTTCTTCTTCAGTGCTATTGTCCTTGTTTGACAAAGGTAGCTTTAATATCTTTGCAAATGGTTTTGGATAGAGAGAAAAACCCCTTCATATTAAATTAATACTACAAGTAATACTACATGTAATACAACCAAAAGAACTTACTAAATCAAGAATGGAAATTAAAACTCATTCCAAACATTTAACCACTATTGATGGTACAATCTTTGAATTTCTACCTACATCCCAGAGACTCATTGGAGCCCATTCAAACTAACTTTGAGACTTAATTTCCATTTCTTATTGATTGAAACAAAAAATAGATGAATAAAAATATACACTTTGATTTCAAATGAACTTACCTTTAATAGGTATGTGAGATCCATTGTTGTCCAAGGCACTGGTTTGTCATTTAGCTTAATGAATTTTAAATGTTTATCATAAAACTGGCCCCTGAAAAATAAAAACATTGGCAATAATCTCCACCTCTCAAAAGACCTTTACATGATGTTTTCATCTGTTTGTCTGTCCATCTGTCCATTAAATCTCAGATAATTATCAAAAAATGAAACAAAGTATTGTTTTGTGGGGTTACAAAAGTGCCTTCACTTGAAGAGCTATTTTCTCAAAAACTTAAAAAATATTTTAACTTACTTGATATTGTATTCATAAAATAAAAAATATTGTGTCTCACCTACTAACTCCAATTCTCCCAAAGGTTCTTGTCCTAGACACCTCAGGATGTATACAGGTTCTATTTTTTCTCTGATTTGGGTGTCTCATCCAATCATCCCAAAATCTACAGGTTGGATAAATGACAGCTTTCAATTTCACTTTTTGTCAATGATGGAGATGACAGGGTCAGGTTACACAGGACTCGAATTACATATAATCACTGTTTGTTATTTAAGTGATATACACTGGCCCATTCACATGAATCATGGTAGTGATCGTGTATCAATATTCAAATGTCACAAACAAGAAAAATTCTTCTTCATATTCAATAAATGAAAACTGATTATTTACATGAAAGATGCTGCTCATTTTGGCTCTAATTCTCAACATAAATTAAAGAGTTACTCATAGGGAAAAATCTCCTTCATGTACATTCTGCTTTATACAAATATTGTTTTCTTACGTTGCTGGCCATTTTGGCTCCAATTCTAACCAAGTATTTTTATCTAACATCCACCCAAGTCCTGGGAAGAAGTCTGTTCTATACAGAAGCACTGAAATTGAAAACACACATCAGGGTTAAGAAAAGTCCTATTCAAAATCCAGAAAGTCAAGATTTCATGGAATACAGTAACCATATATTCATTTAATACAGCTATTAAATATTACAAACCAGATAAAGATCCAACAAAAAATTTCTTAGCTTTCTTTGTTAATAGTCCCTTCAAACAACATTTCAATATTTTTTTGTCTCACAAGATACATTCTTCAGACTAAAAGACTTTCCTTGCAATACACTGCTTCACAACATGAATGTTTACTTCTGAAGTATTGCGACCTCACGTTGGTGGAAAAAAAACATGAACTTTTTCCCTCTGATTGGTATGGAAAAGATGCATTTTTCTCCATTGACTTTTTTTTGCTGTCTCAACTATGTTCTCCTACTCTAAATTTTATCTTAACATTTTGGATTAAAAACCATTCAAACTTACATGGATTATCTTCAATATTGTTAACTTTTCCATTATCATTCCATGCTGACACACACCATAGAGTGGGATCTCTTTCTAATATAGGGAATAAAGCTGTGAAATACTCAAAGAAGTCTGGTGATATATCTAAATCATCTGAAAAGAAAAAGAAAAATAATTTTTTAACCTTTAAAATGTTCTTTAAAATAATCAAATTGTTGACAGATTTTAAAATTAGATGAATGTGCAAGAATATTATAAATTTTAGAACAAAAACTAATAATTGATTTTTTTTAATAACAAGTGAGGGGATCATAATTTAGCAAGTACTGAGATTGTTGAAAACTAAACAGCATTACAAAATATACAAAATATTCCTTAGCATCCACAGACTTACCTTCTACTATAATAACAACAGAATAATTTAGAACCCTGAATATCTGATTTAGGGCCCATCTGTAATGCCTTGATATTTTATAATAACCCTGAAATTTTCTCTGTGTCCAAGGTAAACTAATATCTGTCAGGTCTGGATGCTGAAAATATAAATATACATTCATAACATTTCAATAAAACATGAGGATTTTTCGTATCAAATATTGGTATCTAAAAGAATTGGGTATTGCAACGTTGAGATGCTCAAGGTACAAAATCCATCCAAACTCGTGTAAAAAACTAACTCACCTTTAAATGAGTTATTTGAGCTCCATATGAATCAATGGCATCAGATGTGGGTTTGTGGCCACAGTCTTGACTAACTATGATGGGATATTTTTCTGCTGATGGACGATATCTAAACAGTAATGAGATAAAAATTATCGATAAAAGTTAGAAAATATCACAATATTTAATGCCTTTTGTATCGATATATTTCTTTTTGTAGACAATATATGCTTACATCAATAAATCTCATTTTAGGAAATACCTCTTACTTTCCTATTGGATAAAATTATATTGATATACAGGCCTGAAGCCAGAAATTTCAAAAAGGTATGAAACCTTCACGTACCTATATCAAATATTACCCAGAGCAGACATTTTCTCAATGACAAGGGTGGTTTGTTTGAACATACCTATATCAAATATTACCCAGAGCAGACATTTTCTCAATGACAAGTGTGGTTTGTTTGAACCCCTTGAACCCCCTGGTTATGGCCCTGATATATATTTTACAGTTATCATTTTTTCTTCAGTTATCTGACATATCAAAAGTAAAAATACTTACTTTAAAAGCTGATCTAGATTCTGTTTTACAGTTATGCGATTGCAAGCAAACACCAACACTGGTATGACAGCATTGTAGGGATCTGAAAAAAAAATGACACTGCTTTAGTGTATTTTATTTTTTAAACTAAAGGTGAAATAATGCTTCATGCTTTTTATAATGCCATGAATTTTTTTAAATAGTTTGCAGGGTAAAAAAGTTTTTAAATCTTTTAAATTTCACGGAACTGAGCACAGATTTAACAGAAAACACAATTTATTTTCTTACCAATAGAAATCTGCTGCACAGGTGGATTTGTTTCAACATGTTTTACAGGTTGTGTAACCTTTGTGGCAGTATACCTAGCTGTGACAGAGGGGAGTTTGGATGTCACTTGGTCCTCTGGAATGAAAAACAAAATATTTGTTCATAATTTTAAAAAAATGTTTGTTTTTTTTAAATTTAGAAATGAGGGTAGTGACTGAACCAGTCCCTTTTGACTATACATCATCTTTTTTCTTTTTATCCTTTTTGTAACAAATTCAATATGTTTAATTTATTCAATAATTGATTTAAATTGGTGCAATATCATCTTCTGATATTTCAAAACTAAAAAATAATAAATAAATAATATAATAATATTTCTTCATCAAATGCAAAATCTTAAACGTAACTCATAAAAAGCAATCCCTTCAGTAAAAAATTGAAAATAATACTCCATTATCATTCTTTACCCAACAAATAATTTAGCGGTGATCACAGACACAACTAATTTGAACTGGAAATTGACTAAAACATGCCAGTTATGTAGCCTGAGCTTCAGATCTGATGTGTCAGCTTGTTCATTTTCAAGCCTACATCGTACATGTGGACTTTTTTTTTGAAATCTGATCCTTAGCGACAAGTATGTTTGAAGTTTATAGCACCAAGCACAGATTCACATCCAGATTTCATGGACCCATAAAAGGGCATGTAATATAGTATACAGACCTATCTAACTTTAGTGGTTGGTGTGAGAAACTTCAATTAAATGCTGCTGAAGTCAAGATACAAAAATATGCAGGCATGTATTGATTTTTGAAAATGAAGAAACTGGCCCCGTTTGATGTCACCTTTGACACTCATTCTACAGCTGATGTCACCAGAGGAAAGGGCTAACGAAAACCCCTGAGATATTAATCTCTGTCCTGCAGCAGAAAAAAGCTAACCTTTTTTTTAAAGGTAGTTATGTTTTGGTTGTATACAAACATTAAAACAACCGCAGGTTTCATGGTCAAAAGTTGGTCTTAACTTTCTACCTTAAATTTTTTTTTCTTCTTCGACAAAGATAAATCAAAAGTGCTTAATTGAAATAAAGAAGCTGTAATCCTTAGAGGTATCCTTTATTTCTTTTAGAGAAACAGCCCAAGTATTCAAGTGGATAAAAACTGATCGATACATGGTCAAAATGGACCAAAATATTCATTTTTTCAGCTTTCCCAAACATTTGAATTAGAAAAGTTCTCTAGAAAAAACTGGCCAAAAATGATGCACTTTGTCAATTTTCAGAGCAAATAGTTTAGTGTGAACACAACCTTGGACTGGGTTTACTTAGTCCAATGTATAGTACATAAATGTTTCCACCATCTTGGAAATAGGAAAAAAAAATTAAAAATTAAATTTGAAAACAATATCTGAAAATGTCCTTTCAAAAAATCCGAGAATTTTGCATGCTGGGTCAACCCAGCTCCACACACTTACTTTTTGGTACTATCAACCCATGGTGTCTAAGCTCATCTTCTACTGCTTTTAGCTCCCTAGACACTAGGTCGTCATGATTAGGCTCCTAAAGCAACAAAAGAAACCAGTGCCCAAACCAGGAGATGAAAGATAGAGAGAGAGAGAGACAAGGCCAAGGGGACATTTCTTCCTTCTTTTGAAAGGCCATCAAAAGCATGCTTTGATTAGAACCAGTTATTACTTATGTGATCCATTTAAGCAAAAAGGCAGCAAATCAGACAAACGTGCAGCCAGTAATGAAGATATATAATGAGCAAAAAGGTTCATTAGCTTGGTTGTTGGATAAATATGAAAATTCTCAGACACAAGCCTAAAATTTTCCGTACCGTTAGCTTACGGCCAACCTGGTTTATAAGAGGGTCCTGGCCGCTATACCATCTAGCGGTCAGTGAGTGTGAACAACTACTCACGTCAGTCTGATGAAGGCCTTCGACCAGGTTGGCCGTAAGCTAACGGTACGGAAAATTTTAGGCTTGTGTCTGAGAATTTTCATATTTAAGATATATAATGTTAATGCAATTAAAAGAAAAGAAGTTAACCTTTTCTTCCCTTCAATCTTTCTAAAGAAACTGTCTGTAGCCAAGCCTTTTTATGAAAAATTACTCCATCCAATGAGAGCATGTATTTTGAATGGCCTTTCAAAATAAAGCCAGAAATAAAAATCCCATTTTCCCAGAGTACCACGCCTCTCCAACTTACTCAAATAATCTCCTCTCCCTTGTACAAGATCAGATTCAACTGCTTTCCGTTCTTCAACCAACTGCTTCAATAACTTTTCGTGAAAATTAGCCTGCTGGCGCACCTCTTGTTGGAGTGCCTTTAAACGTCTCAAAAGAGTCTCTTTATCCATGGTGGCACTCTATGGAAAAGGAAGATTTTTTTTATGTATAAAGTGGACAATTCCAAGTTGAATACCGGTTTTGCAGAATCAGCAAGACAAAAAGAAAATCTTCCATATGCCTGAAAACTTGAGAATAAGTGCACCATCACCACCATGTTGTGAGAGTCAAATCAAAAGTTTTACCCAACATACTCATCTCCACACAAAGCATTTATGAGATTTGTGTGACAAGCTGGATACCATAGGTGTCTCTCAACATTCATTTCAAACTGAGATTACAGTGAAAGAGACAACTTGTGTCTTTTCCATTTTTTGTCATTGCAATATTCATTTCTGGTCTATAAATCATTTACATATTTATTGTACAGTACGGATATAACTCACATAGACTATAATTGTTTCTAGTCTTAATGGTACAGTGTGCTATCAAAATTATAGGAAATACAAAAATGTATGGATTAGAGAGCAGCAAAATGTTATTCAAAGACCCCAAGAGCAAGCTACATTAGCAGGCAATCATTCGTGTTGCCTCTGGGAAAATGAGAAAATATCATGAAAAAATCCCAAATGCCCCATTTTCAAATAGAGCCATGGGATATTTCTGTCTAAGCAACCCTTTATCAATGAATTATTCTTCCAAGAGCATCTCCAAGACTGGTTTTAGATTAATACAAGCTAACAAAATGAAACATCTTTGTACTTGGACATAATTCTTTTCAGTTGCCTTAAAACATGTATGCACATTTTTTTAAAAATTATAATCTATCAATTGACTCTTTTAGTATTTGCATTAATCCTCTTTGTATTATCACTTGTCTGGCATTTTCCCCTCTTTGCATCATAATAAGGGATAATTGAATCTAGTCAAGAACAACTTTATCCATAAAAGCAGAAATATCTTATGCATTCCACATGAAACCAAGGCAATATTTACAATACTGATGACAGGACAGAATATTATATAATAAAATCTATATGATACACATGTGTTGGTCGGTTTTGTGGCACAGTCATCTGGTTCATATTCACCAGTAACTTGCTTAACGGAAATTGCATTGACATTTAAAATCATTATTAATGAAAAAGATCAATTGACTTAACTGCCTTTTACCAAAACATTCTACCTCATCTCTGAATCAAATAACAAAGAAAGAATTGAAGCAAAGCAGAAACATCCTACAGGCAATCAGACCAAAAGAGAGTCCAAAAATTTTTAATCACTCAACTTGCAAACAATTTTAGAACAGGAAATTTAATCCAGAGAAAAAGGAATTAAGTAGGTTCCAGTGGGAGAGTTTAACTCCATTACATCTATTTCCTCAAATCATGTTGGCAAATTGACATGGACATGCTCTTAACTGCTGGTCTAGAATGGTGACAACAAGAAAACAAATGCACATACATTATTATGTAAAATTTTGGGCCGTGTTCATATGGTATTTAAAATTACATCAGCATCAAAACACTTGAACTTACTAGAATGAAAACTATACATTTATCATGTTATATAATCATGGGTGATAAAGCACCCAACTTTGACAGATTTCAATCAACTTTCTCAATCCAGGATGATCATAGAATATATCATATATTATATCATATATTATATCAGCCTTAAATTATTTATTCAGGCAGTAGTATATTGGACTCTAGGCAGCTGTTAAACAACTTATAAGTAACCAAAGGTTTGTTCCCATCAGCAGTAACTTAAGCCTGGGTTCCAACCCAACGTACGGGCTTCTACGTCTGGTCTACAGTGCAGACAGCACATAGAAATTTTTTCGACATGATCAACAGCCGCTGCGTAAAATGCCAAAAAAGACAGCGAAGAGCAAGAGGGGGAGAGGTGGACCGGAGACAAGCCAGGCAAGGGTCATGGAAGAAGAGTTTCCAAGAGAAGAAGAAGAGAGAGCCACGTTGGAATTGGCCAGAAGCATGGAAGAAGAGAGGAATGAGGTCCGTGAAGAAATGGATGAGGGTGAGGGTGAGGAGGAGCAAGAGTGGCTGGACAATGAGAAAAAAGTGTTGTATTCATTCAGAGCAAGTAAGGAGGAGAAGATAGTGGAATTCTTCTCAAACAACAATTGTTTTTATAACAAATCCCACCCGAACTACCTAAACCAAACGAATAAAGACAAGCTGTTGGCAGGACTGTCAAAAAAGCTGGACTCAAACGGTAAGTATACCAAACATAATTATTTCACAATTTTTCATTGCATATTTATTCATGTATATGTTAAGTACAAAATAAGGAGTTTGATCAACTGCAAACAAAAATATGCTTGACAATGAATTAATTTTAAACAAAATATTTCATTTCTTTATTCTACAGCAAAGAAGATAATTGGCTGGTGAAAAACCAAAGAACCTCCATTGGAAAGCTTTATAAAAAGAAATCTGGACAGGCTGCAGAATCACTGACAGCTAGGAAGAAATGGCAGCTGCAGAATTTCAGTTTTTTAAAAAACCACATAGTTCCAAGGACTTATACAACAGAGACAGCACTAGTAGGTGAAAATGATCATTACTCTTTTTTTAACTATTTTATGGATGATGCTGATTTAAATCATGAATTGGTTTATTTCCTTCATGTGTTATGAACCATTTTTCAAAAACCATTTCAACACGGAGGAAAGCGATTTTTGACCCTAATCTGCCAGGAAAATATCGTACCTCAATAAAAAATAATTTTCCAACACACTTGTAAAGAAGGGAAATGAGGGTGTGTAGAAAAACAGAATATAATGTGTCAATATAAGGAGAACGGAAATGAAAGTTTTTCCAGATGGGAAAAGCTAGTGATGAGGATGAGGAGGAGCATTCTACACCCCAACGAGCCAGTCACACCACCATGGCCAGCTATAGCCACCAGCCTCTCCCACCTCCAAGAAGGCCAGAAATTCCAAGATGGATGACCAGACCTGCTGGTCAAGTGTATTTCATGGCCAAGGCCTGTCAAGGATTTAAATAAAAAGGTAGGTGCATTTTTTCTCCCTAGTGTGATGAACATGAGTTTCTCATTTAGCACATAGCACATAAGCGCAATTTCTGTCATACCTGACACATGAAAATTAAGATTAGATCATGTTGTATTATCCGTTATATCATAACTTTTCATTTTGATAAATGTAGCAACATTTCATTTCCCTAGCTAGAGAGTTTGACTCAACCTCCAGATGAGAGAGTGGCACTTGGCCAGTGGATATTGGCCCAGATGGCCAAAGTACCCGAACATTGGTGGGAAGAGTTGCAAAGCGCCGCACAGGCCTTCATGCAAGAGTATACCTGCACATACCCATCACTACAATCCCATATCCCTCCTTCAAGCCCCCAGTCCAGATATTCGACACAGTCATCCTCTGTTCCGCTAGCACTGCAGAGCACCTCCCAACAAAGAATGTGGTGTCCAAGGTGGCAGGGGGAGCCCCAGCAGTAGTTGCAGCCAAAGCAGCAGCAGTGGACATTCCAGCCCCAGCACTGGGCACCCCAATCACAGCAATGTTGGCAGCATCAGCAGCAGCAATGGCCCTCCCAGTCTCAGCAGTGGAAAAAGCAACCACAGCAAACATGGCAACATCAGCAGGCACAACAGCAATCGACAACTGTCTCTTTTCATTCATGCAGTGCCCCTTTAGGCCCAGTCACATACTAGGTCAGTACTCATTAAAATATATTTGTGGGAGGAATTTTGTTAAGGTTGATGAGGCCTCCACCAAACCATGCTTTCAATGTTATCAGAGTACTTCCTGTCTGTTTAAGAGCAGTAAAAACCTCATACATTTTCATTAATTTTTAAAATGATTTCTTATTTATGACTTCTGTTTGTCAGAATCCCTCCCAGACCAGACTGTCACTATGCAACCTGGACACGAGCTTTTCAGGGATTGGACTGTCAGAGGCTTTTGATGTCACTGCCCAGGATACCACAAGGCAAATAACCATTATACCAACAACAAAGGACGAGCAACAACCGTAGGAAGTCAGGAAGACTACCCTATGTCCACTTGCGTTGCCCTTGCATTGCCCTTGTGTTCCCCATACTCTTAGTACAGATAACATACGTACTGCACGAGATTTGTGAACACTTAAAGGACTGCAAAAACCCTTTTGATGAAATCTGTATGTGGATGATTGACATGAAATTTGATGTAAAAGGGGAAGAGGAAGAAAGCATTGGGAGGGAGAAGGAACAAGCAATGGAAGGCAAACCTGGATAAGATTTCATGATGAAAAATCACTCTGCTCTATGTAATGTAATTATACTCTGACAGCAATTAGTCAATTACCTGATTAGGTAAGCCCTCTTAGTGAACAAGTCCCAGGGCTGCTAATCTTACAGAATTATGTTATTCTACATATATTTCAGTATTATTTGACATTAGTAATTTTTCTGTGTAATTTTACTCTTTAAAACATGTAAAAAATATCAGATCTATGCACTTTGAGAAGCTTAATGTATGATATCTTTAGGGTTTAGGATGGTGAACATAGCCTCAAACATGCTGTAAAAAATTGACAGAATCCCTTAGAGGCTCGAACATCAATTTCCTTTCCTCAAAACACCATCCCTGAAAAGCTTGGATGAACAAACTGCATGAAATAATGGGCCCTTGCCAATAAATGCCACAAATTGCTTCCAGAACTAACATTATCAGTTATAGTCTTATTGGGTAAAATAACAACCTTGGGACATGGTAATCTATGATTGCTGTTTTAATGTGGTGATGGAAAGTTAATGGATCTAAAGATAGTTACTTTGGTATCTACCACCTGTAAACACTTTGGAGGGTTCTGGCTCCAAACAGGTAGTTCGGATGCACTAAGGATTATATACTGAAAAGTGCACTTAGAGTAAAAAGCCTAGTGTACACCCTATGCAAAGACAAAACATGAATGATGGAAAATAATTAAAATTAAAGAGAAACAATTACTGCCGTGATAAAATATTACTCTCAGTCAACATCTTCCTGGTGGTCACAAAAATTTATAATTTGGCTAATAAGCAGAATATAAAACAGAGATTGAAAGTTAATATAAATATAGATGATATTTCAGAAAAGATCTATCATCTGATTAGTTGTAGCATTGTGTTAGTACTAATACAAAAGACTCACCAATTACAAAACCTGAAAATATCCATTTCAGATCTTGTCATTGTGATTATAAAAAAAAGCACTGGAAGTCAAATATCATATTTATACTAATGAAAAAGATTTTTTTCTAGAAAAAGAAGGATAATGTTTGACATCCATTTATTGAAGAAAATAATCAATTCATTTTACATATATAACAAAACTGTTGATCTATGTTTGCTATCATAAAATTTAAAAAGTAATGTTTACTAAAAGCATGTCCATCACTGTTCACCCAAACAACTTGGCTGTATACTAAAATACTAAAAATACACATTTTTTATATTTTCTTAAGCTTAAATAAATAAAATCACAATTTTCTTTACCTTTTCTGCTACTTTCCTAGGCATTGTCATGTATGCCAGGAGATGCCATCCCACCAGGCAGACAATGACAACATACACCAGGTGTCTTCGTCTCATGACAAAAGTGTTCCTTAGGACATCCTCCTACTAATCTTACAGGTACTCAATGTCTGTTTTCTCCTATACGTACATCTGAAATAAAAAATGCATTATACAAGCAGTGATTTATGTACTTAATGCTGAATAAATTAGAAATGAAAATGGCACTGAGTAGCATTCTGTAAAAGATACTGCTTACTAGTAATTCTCCGCTTTATGCCATAACTGCAGTTTAGGCAACAGAGAGCACTAACTTAAGTACCCAATAGAATCTAAGTTAGGCCCCAACAAGAATGGGGTAAAATCCAGAGAGAAGTTATCTGAATAAATGCAGTTTTAAATGTAGGCCATGCTGGTTTGCCACATAGAGAAAATAGCAATATATAGTGCACGCATACAGAAGTAATGTAGTTCAAACCAGATCTTTGTTAACCACTCCTAATTACACTGTAAATACAAAAAAAAAAAGATGCACGAACCACATTCAACACTACTTGTTAAACAGGTGATACTAAATTACCATTACAGATAATTTGAACAAAGGCTGCCTGAATGTAAATGCTAATACTTGCACTGAATTGATAAAAAGAGAGTGGTGTCATAAAACATTGTCTGAGGACTTATGACAACTTGCTTGACAACATTTAGTTTTCCATGGTATAATTACACACCTCTTCTTGTTAGATATCTTATAACTAGAAATATATGTACAGATAAGAAATGATATCCTGATTTGAAAATTCCATGCTTTGTGGACACATGTGAAACCCGATACGATCTCAGTCTGAAATTTATGGATTTAAGTTTTTAAAATGCCGTCCGATCCACCAGACTGTACTATCAGTAATCAGAAGTTGCCTTTGCACTACTTTCACACAATGCTTTTTCAGACAGCAAACCTGTCAAGAGCAAACCTTGTTACAACTTGAAACAAATCTTTCTGGGCAAGCAATAGCCAATGTTTCCTAACTTTACACAACCTATAATACCCAGTATGTACTGTACAATGCAACCACACTGTGCCACAAGTCCCCATAGGTCATGGCATACCACCAGAAAACAAGTTAATTGATACAAATTGCCCTGCACAAAAAAAAAATTATTGGCTGTGTGCATCATTTTTATCAAATTATTTCAATTTCATTCTTTTATCTAAATTTTTATTCAATCACGATCAATGCCATAAGCAACTTCTGGTTTCCTTTTAAAGGAGCTATTAGCAGAAGTCACAGCCATTAAAATCATTTCAAGCCCCGTTCTCATCCGTTATAACTGAAACTGGCCAGGGGCTTACATAGCATTTCTGCTATATATTTATACGCTGCTAAGATTGTTTTACAAGGATAGAAATGACATGTAGAAAATGTCTATATAGATGAGGAGCAACTATGGCGATTCTCATTCTTGTTACTTGCAAAGAATTTGCAAGTCTATTGGTTGGTCGGGGAGATTCGGCCCAGGCAGGCAGTATATGGTTGTGCATATTTAAGCATATGTTAACATCGTTTTATTTATTTATATGAAAACATAGTTACAGTATTATCAGATATCTACTTATAAAAAAGACTAAAAAATATGGCAATCATTTATGCAATTATAATGCAGTGTAAAACAAAGTTAGATTTAGATAGAATAAATATGCTGCCAGTACAACATGCATTTTCTTGTTTAATTTGTAATTAAATCTAAATAATACTAGATTCAAAAATGAATAAAAATTAAAAGTAAATTGAAATTTTAAAAAATTTACAACTTTTGCAAGTTTTTTTGCTCTCTATGAGCAATTTTATTATCTTTGTATATCAACTTTTTTTTTAGTAAGGGCATTGAAATTGTGCACATTTTCAGATATCTAAGAAATATTGAGAGAAAGAAAGATTGAGAGAATAATGTCCATGTAAATGGACATATATGCTTTTCTGTTCTAGCATTAAAACATGCAAGTTGTCAACAGGATGGGTCAGACCACCAAATAGACTTCATCAGACAAAGGTTGAAATCTTTAATTCTTTTTTTTTTTTTTGGGGGGGGGGTTAAAAAACAGCTGAAAAATGAACATAAATTAGGTCTAGTGAAAAAAGAAAGAAGTTCATGGTAGAATTCTTCCCCTGAAGAGTGCAATGCAAGAATGTGATACTATGGGTTAAAAAAAATAAATAAAAAACAGGCTCACTGAATAATGAAACTGAGCGTTGCCAACTTGGCACATTTGTATGCACTCTATTCATTGTTTTCTGATGCATGTAATTCTTGGCTCGTTCTTACTTCAAAATAGTAGATGATAGTTAAATTTTTACACAGGGTATCATCTGACTGCTCACTTTTTCCCAAACATCTTATTAAACTAATCAGGGCCATATCTACAGATACTGTTAATCAGTAAGAACTGCTTCGGTTCATGATACATATATAAGGCTGCGTTCACATGAAAAATCTATTTTCTAAAAATCTATTTGCGGTATCTTGTGATCACGGTCTGTGCCCTGAATAACCCACGGCATAATTACGGGCAGCAACAACCAGTTACTTTCAAAGCTGTAATTAATTCTCGGCGCTGCCAGTAATTACGCCGTGGGATATTCAGGGCACAGACCGTGATCACAAGATACCGCAAATAGATTTTTAGAAAATAGATTTTTCATGTGAACGCAGCCTAATAGTCCAGTTAAATTAAGTGTTGCCTTAAATCCAAGCCATGTATCTCTTGTTATAAAACGGTGCAGTTAAAGGTATCCCCTCTGGGCTTTAGCTCTAAATGCTTCTCCTAACATTAAGACTGCCTTTTGTCTTCCTGGCATTTCAAAAGACACAAACTGCACACAGATTGTGAATGATTTAGTTTTCAATTCAAACAAAAAATAAGAAAACATAAATCCTTGAGAAGTTTTGAAACATGGCCTTGTATTAAGTAGAAAATAGAAAAATTTATATCTCATGTGAGGACACAGGATACCAAGTCTTGGACCTTGCTCTGTTCTAAGGCTTCAAAGGAAATAATGACCTCAGGTACACTTCAGATTATCTTATCATTATTAAAGTTAGAACCGAGAAAGATGACAAAAATATTCTAAAAAATCACTTTAGGGCATTTTCAAACTTAAACAGAATACTTAAATTGCACTACTGCCCATTCATCTTGTGCCAAAGTGACCTTAAAGTTTAGACAAGTTTTAGGGCTGTACCTCCTGTGAGACAGGCCTATGCTATTCTAATGATAATAGCTACACTTTAAAACAATAGATCCATCCATGTGGAGACCTACAATGTTGGCAACCCTGGTTACATGTCACATTCTATTAACATATTATTTAATAATTACAATCTCTTCCTTGATGCTAATTATCCTTTTTATGTACCCATAAAACCAACTTTTCTTGCATTAAGTGTTGCATGAAGATAAAAGATATCAAACTACTGTGCAACTACTTGACACAGAAATTGTTTATTCCCAGTATAATTTTTAACAAGTTTGCTATCCTTTTATATATTTGTCTATATTTGCTAATAAAAATGTATGATTATCACTAATTTATATTCCAAACTTTCAAAGGCTCATTGTGATAAATATTTCTCTACAGTACCACTTAAAGCAAATATACATACTACAGTTTAATTAATATTAGACCCCAAAATACAACTATTTTCAAAAGTAAAATTAAAAGTGCATTCTCATCAACCAGTCAATCATCATACATAATTGTATGCATGACGAATGTGTCCAAGCTGAACATAACGTTCAACCTTCTGACACAATAAATACCAGTTAGTATAGAGAAGCTATCACTTAAGAAGTTGCAATTTAGAAAGGCAACATAAAAAGTAATTATGATATGCACTGTCCGGTTAGGCTCTTTTCAGACCAGGGCAGAGATACAGCAGTTCGGAAATTACGAGTACTAGCACTTATGATAGTAAATACTATTTGAATAGAATTTTTACACACATCTCAATGATAAATCCCAAGTGCCGTGAAACAACCCACTAATAACGTTATCACAAGCAATTGTAAAACACTGACCTCAATCTACAATTCCATAATTTAACAATGTAAGTCAAGGGCCATTCTGTCTGGAAATAAGCCGTATCCCCAACTCCATACTGTACCAGTCCAAATCTCCAATCTCAAATGTGGCAAGGTGGACGAGGTGAACGATAGGGGTCGTGTGAAACTTGGGATTATTTTGTTACAAAGCGCCATCTATCTTCATGATCTCCCAACAGGTGCCCGCTCTGACTTCCGTGTTACGCTAAACCGACCGTCTAAAAGAGCAATTTCAATTATTAGATATACTGTAAGACATAATTGTGGCTTCCAACTCAAAATTTAAAGTGTCTTTTTCTATTAGAGTGCCTTTATAGATCTGAAATAAAACTAAACTTGACACAAATATGTCGCGAAAATGTCCCATTTACTTTTGTATATGCTGTGTCCATGGTGAGGTGACGTCAAAGCATTCATATGGTAATATCTGTTATGGAGAACACCACAACAACTAGAAGTAGGCCTACCCCTATATTGAACTTAGCAAATTGAGCATTGTGCAACATTGTGCTTAACGAGGCGCTGGAATAAGTAAGTCATTTGACTAACACATTCGGATTCGGTGAGTGTCAGATATATAACTTTTTAAAGAAAGTTTTCTGCGTTTTAATACTGTAAATTAGTTTAATTTGTGATTGTGATACTCGAAGTTTGGTTAGCCGGCACATGTACGAGTACTTGTGTTTAAGCAGTAGAGAGGCCATTACTGTATAATGCCATGACATAATATCAATTTAGTATAGCTGTACTGTGAACATCCAACATAAACGTGGCTATATTTTCTAAAATTTTCACAAATGAAATCTGAGCAGTAATTGCCCCATGGCTACATTTTGTTACCCCAAACTGGTACTGGGAGTATTGGGGTACATGTACTGCAGTACACTGTACCTTCATACTTTAAAATCTTTAATTATTGTAACACATTAACTTGAATATTGCAGTGAATTGGCAAGATCATTATAGATATATGAAATGTTTTCCTCGACAAGAATTTTTTTCTTGTATATCATTGCATTTAATTATTATAAAGCTAGATGTACACAGTACTGTGAAGTTCAATCATTGTATTCTGATCTCAGGTAACCAGTTTGGTTCTCAGAGTCATTTTTGAGAACATTTTACAGCTGTACCATATGCCTCTTCCCATATCTAGAATTGCAAAATCAGATTTCAGCCAACTGGCATGGAGTTTGATTTTTATTATTTTTTTTATTTGTCTACATTTACTGTACATGTACTGGGTACCATTAAAGTTAATATGTTTGCATTCAACCATAAAAAGATTGTTTAACAGAAAACAAGCATTTGTGTCACTTTTGGTTAGTTTTTAATTATAACTGTATAATAGTTCCATTGTTTAATTGTATTTCTTTTTCTTTTTTAGCGACCTACGTACCCACAGAAAATAAACTAAAAAAAAAACATGGGTTGTGGAGCAAGTTCCCAGCCAGCACCTCGTTACAATGGTAACAAGGCATACCCTGTACAACAGCATGCTCATCAGCAACATCATCTGCAACAACAAAAACCTACACAGCATGTACACCCAACACCCCAGCAGAAGGTAAGGACTGAGTTAATTTTCTTCTGTAACTCTTACTGGTCTTTTAAACTTTTGGATGTGATGCTGACTCTAACAGCTTCTTATAAATTTATTTGGCTTTTTTATTGAATACACTGATCTCTGAATTTCACTAAGGTTATGCAGAATTATTGGGCTCACTCTACCATATTTTCAGCCAATTAGGTTTATTTTAAATGTGGCAAAATCAGATGTTCATGACTTTTTGGTCAGAAATTCAATATGATTCACGCTTATGCTAGCATGGGCCCATCTGCTCCTTCCGGATTGGATGTGATCTACTCTCTTCTTTTTCGCCCTGCATACTTTTCAATTTAAACTTCATCCTTAACAGAAAGAGAATCAGTCATTACAAAATCTGGATATCACTTACACATATAGGTACTGGTATGCATGCATACACCTTTAGGCATATGTGCAAATGCACAGGTGCATATGACCAGATCCCACATGTGTACATTTGACAGACAGTTGAATTGTGCCATTTCTGTATTTCACAATTTTCTCTTTTTTGCATGGAGATAATTTTCCTTATACTGTTAATGTTGTTTTACATTAAGTCGAGGACAGTTGTTTGTATCAGAATTTTTCAGTGTATTTTCAAGACAAAATATATAGGAATGCAAATATTTGGTAAATTCTTTATGTCAATCTTGAGCACTTCTTGATACTGAGATGCATTTTGCCATTGTAGAAAATCTTAATCAATACATATGTTTTTACTTATAGTTATTCTTTCAATTGTTACCACCTTTTATTGATGGTAAAGCATGATGAAATTAATATAAACTTGCATGTTGTAATAATATGATTTTTTATATTGATTTTTTAACTGTTATGGTAATTTGTGCTATTAAATATTGTGTCTAAGAATGCATGAATATGCATGAATATATTTATTTTACTCTTTTGTGGAGTGTTTATCATCTTTCTGAAAGGGTGTGGTGGTTAAGTAAATTTAGTATTTGATATAGCATGATAAATAAATAAATAAATAAATAAATGGGCATATGTTTACACTAGTATTATAGTATGTACATGTACTAGTACTGTATTAAGGCGTCTTCCTTATTTTTTAAGAATTAATTTTAACTTTTGCTATGATATAACTATCCAGGCTCATAGCTCTTTGCCCCAAATTGAGAAGAAAGAAGGAAAATGTGACAAAATAGTCCGAGCTGCAAGTAGTTGCAGCCTGATAAGCCGAAAGTCAGTTAAAAGCAAGAGTAGTGCAAGCACTACTAGTAGCAGATCATCTCTAAAGGTAATATATAATAAAAGGTTTGAACTTGGTTTGACATTCAGCAGAATGCACATATTCATGTGCTTTGGATGAAGAGAATTGCTGGAGAGCAACTGCATGTACTTCTGTCTGCTGTGTGAGCTACTTTTTTATTTTGACCAGAATGAAAATTGGATATATATCCATTAGCGTTCTGTTATTTTACCCCAGTTTCTCTTAGCCTCCTTACATTTTCTAATTTGCCCTTCAAATTTGTTAAGCCTCCAAGTAACTGTTTTTGTCAGTAAAAAATAACAACAATATTATAATTAACATGTCATTCCCATAGTTAAAGTCTGTTTGCAACCACTTTCATAATTTCATAGGCTGGCATGAATTTTATTTCTAGAAATCAAGTGGTGAAAGTAATTGGCTGGCAAATAGAGGCAGATATACCTAATTCAATACCGTGTTAATGTGCCAAACTTAACAGTCTTGTTGCACGAGCAGTGAAATCTTCTAATTTCTTCATAGGTTATAGGTAAAAATTATGCACATGTGTTTGGCATAGAATGTAGTTTTTCAGTCATTAAATGTTCAAGTTTTGAATTTGTGATTGTTGTGGCAGTAAACTATTATTTCAACACAGTGCAAGTACTGTTTAACTGGTAGTGCAGTATTATTTATTTGTGTTACAAATGCAGTCCAAAGGTGAGATAAAGCCCAGAGATAAAAAAATATGAAAAAAATTCTGTATACTTTTATACTAGTGCCAGTGATGTTCATGTGTACTCATAAATATATATTTTAAGCTTCAAGGTTGTAATCTGTTTCTGAAATGCTTTTAAACATGAACCAGAATATCATGCTGGTATGCTATATATACTCCTATACTATTGATTATAATAGTACCTTTATGTGTAGAGTTTTAGATTGGCTTATGGAGGAGATTAATGTTTTCTTAGTCCTATAACCTAGGACGCAATATTCATGAATATTGCATCCTAGCTATAGCCTAATGCAGATTAGATCTGACTGTGCATGAAGCATTGATCTTTGATGTGTTAAGACAAGTATGTTTGCTTTACTCTTTTTGATATTGACATTAACTTAGGTACCAGTGCAGGTGAAACCTATGTAAAGTGGCATAAATATCTTAAGCCCATATGCCTCAAACGAATGCATACACACAATCATACAGACACTTGATGTATCTTAATGTCACTGTGATTGGGTGTGTTTTTGTTCAGAGGGGGTTTGAGAGAGTGTAATGCATTATCTTAACTATGAAGGACATGGTCATGTAGTAGAGTTCATATTAAATTTTTACCATGATGAAATATTGGGGATAAGGAATGAGGTGTTTTTGTTACAGCTTGATGTGGTAAAGAATGTGTTTTTGTATTTTCAGTGTACAGTATGTCGTTATCATATATTTATTGATGCATAGAGAGCATTGCCATCATTTTTGAAATATGCAGGCATCTTATATTGATATTAGAAAAATATCTGTACTCATGGAGCATTTGCATAATACATGTAGGATACACACAAAGACAGTGATAGCACTGCCTCAGTCAAGTCGCTCACATTTGAGAATGAAAACAACACTGCAGCTGGAACGTCCGCGGCTGAGCCAAGTTTTGGGGGTGAAGTTATAAGTGGCGAGGAAGAATACAGTGTTAAAACTGCAACCCAAATGAAAGGAAATGGAGAAAAGGGCTTATCCAGTATTGCAGAGGCTCCTTTTGAAGGAATAAAAGATCCTGCACTGGATTTCAGAGAGGCAAGTCTCAGAGATGGAGAGTTGGAGGTCAATGAAAGAATGCCCATCACCTCCACCATTGCTGCAGAGCAGACAGAAAAGGCACCTCCCGAAGCAATCAAGGAATTCAATGCAATCCAGGATTCAAACAGCTTCCAAAATAGTTCAGTTGAAAAGAAGCCCACGTCTGACTCTTTGCAAGAGGAGGTGGTTTTCTTTATTGAGGTAGACAGGCATGATCATAATAAAAAGCATGACATTTATGGACTGCATGAGCCCCAAAAACATGTGCTAAGCATGAGGACATATATTGACAGACATACACAGTACTAGTATCCCGTACTGTATATATAGTATATATAAGATCATGAAAAGCATGTGCCCAAAGTATATATATATATATATATGACTAATTTATAACTATATCACTTCATGTAGTACATGTGCCTAAACCAAAACCCAAGCATTCACATGTAGCATAGAACTTATTAGTATTATGACAGTTAATTTAGTGCGCCAGTATTATGTTCCTTCAAATTTACAGTAAAATCTTTCTACTTTACACCAAGTTTAAATAATTAGAATCAAAAAGACATACATACTGTACATGTACAATGTTTCACTGTAATTACAAAACCATGATCTCCACTCCCATATCCCTTCTGTCATCCTCACTGAATATACCTTGCTCATGGTTTCAAGATATGGTATTTTTTGCCTCATTATCTACATTCACATAAGTTAAAGAGGTGATTAAACTTTCTCAGTCTTATGGATATTTTTATCATACCATTTATGGGCGATGTGTCAGTAACTATTCATCCCAAAGCCCTCCTATCCTTTCACTTACCAAGTGTAGTGGTCGCTTTTTAGGCCTTTTCTTTCTTCAGTATTGCTATCAGTATTTATGCTTAATGCTTAATATAAATAATTATACATGGTGTTTGCTTATATGCTGGATTTTTGCTGCATTTGAATTAGCTTAGGCATTTAATAGTCCAGATTTTTTTATATCTTATTCATCACATAAAGTGTGCTAGCTTTTTCCCTAGTAGTTTCTGCATAGTATGTCATTGTGCTATATTGAATTGCATAGGATTATGTCAAATTGTCATTCATAATAAAATATCTTTGAGAGATTTTTTTTCTTATTAAGAAAATATTTTCTCTATAACAACTGAGTTACATTTTTCATAATTTATCATGTTTTAAGTGTAAAAATCTTTAACCAGTTTTCAACAGATTTAAACTGTAACTAATTTAAGCAACTGGCTTATTAATTAGTATGCAAGCTTGCAGCATTCATGCTTAAAAAACACATAATATGTATATCACAGACTTAACATGCCAGCTTGAGATCTTGTGTATTGATACGTGTGATATAATTTTGCTGCAGCAACTTGCGCCTGCTAACAATACAGTTGCTGCTGCTCCAGTAGCAACATCACAATCACAGCAACAGCCTGCAGAGAAACCAAAACCAACACCTGTTATTACTGACAATTCTCCAGAGGTTTGAACACTATATAATATATATACTAGTATACTAAATTACACTGTATTTATTGTTAATATTCTACTTATATTTGTTCACTACTGAAATGCATTTCATAGAATTGATTTATTCATATGCAATCTAGACTAATTGTTCCTTTGTCCATAATTGATGCATGTTGATATATAAACATTTGTTTTTGCTCTGAATTTTTTTCTCACTTTAAAATAAGTCTTATTCTGGTAATTAGTTACTTTTTGTCATGTTGTCTCACATTTTTGTTATCAGTTACCAGTTGACGCAATCTATGATATATATTTTTTGACAAATGTTGTTTCAGAGTGCATAATTTGATCCATCCAATTAATATTTGCTTTTTTCTTTATTTTAGGAGAAAACTGAAATTGAGGTAGGTCTCAGAAAATATAACACGGTCACAGAACTTGAAGCCCTATAAATTGCAAGTTGCAAGTATTTTATGAAAATGATTAAAGAATTTAATTGATTTCACCCTAATTTGCTGAAGAGGAAAGATAAAATGGAAAAATAAAGTAAAGGTGCAAACAGGAACATTAATAATATATTATACACGTTGAATTAAAAGGGATTCACGGAAGTAGCAAGTAAAATTTATTTGAAGAGACTTGATCAAATTATTATAGAAGCATTGCTGCTTGTGTTACAGATGAAGTCAGTTGACATCAACAAAGAACTGCTGGAAAAGTATATGGCTTTGGAGAAGGAAATCCATGAGAAAGAAAACAAAAATGTTGTCAAAGCCTTGCAAGTGAAAAAGAAAGAAGTAGCTGAACTTTCTGATACCATACAGCAGTTGGAAGAACATTACAAGAAATGTGTAGAACAGACGTATGTAGAAATATTTTCTGATTTTATTGAATGACTTACTGTAATTGATATTAAACTTTGTTGCGTAAAAAATATTGTCAATCATTCAGTAATTTATGAAATAATCATTATTATAATATTTATTTCTTGAACTGGTGTATTTTCTTTAAAAGCTTTAAAAACAATGCATAAGACTGAAAATAAATTTCTTTGTCAGATTGGCAGCTGTCAAAATTATGTAAAGACTGTAGTCATACACAAAGCTTCGATTTTTCATCTCTTTAACTTTTTTTCTGAATTCTGTGTTAGTTTGACTTTCACTAATTTAGCCTCACTCAATTCAACAATGAAAATATTACTTAGCATATGGCACATAAGTCTAGTTTTGAGCTTACAATAGCACACACAAATTAATGATGAATTATTTTGATTTGTAGGAAGAAGGAAAAGGCCGATGTAGACAATGCACCATCTGTACAACAACTTTTGAATGCAGAAGAATACCAAGCTATGCTAACAAAGGAACAGGTAAGATTTATTTTCTAAATTACTTTTTCACTATCAAAGTAATACTATCCTTTTTCAGTCAGGGTTGTGTCCATGCAGTGATGATTTTTTTCTCTTATATTTAAAGTACATGTAGTTCTTGATTTACTGGTATTATAATAATTATATTTATAAATGAGGCTAAATTTACCAAATCCAGCCTTATTCTTTTTCTTGTGATTACTTCAGGTGATTAATTTCTTTAAATATTTTATTTAATTGTCTCGTCATTGCTTCATCTTCTGTAGGAGGAATACCTTGATGCAGTCAACAATGAAGAAATTGCTAAGAAGCAATTGGTTGGCGTAACTGCACAGAGAGACAAAGTAGCCAAGGAAGTGGAGGAGATGAAGCTGGCAGCAGAGGCCTTACAGAAACTTTACAAGGAGCAGGATGAATTGTTAGGTATGCAGAATGAGTAGCCTTGTAGCCAATGATTTCAAATTTTATTTTTCTGAAAAAGTTGTCCTTTTTACCCCATAACTTGACCTAGCTTGACAGATGGCACTGAACCTAAATCAGATTTGATTAGATTGAACCTTTTCTGCCAAAGGCAGTGGTTCTTTTAAACATCACCCCCATCTCCAAACCCTCCGGACCATGGGCTTTGTGTGTGTGTTCAAATATTAAGTTAAACCCAGTTTTGGGCCTTACTCCTGTGGGTATTGCTCCAGTGAAGTTAGGCTGGCTCAATTAACACCTTGTGACCCATCTTGTCAGATCATTTGATTTGCTTACAATTTATAATTTGTCAACACATGACTTTCCTCAAGTGTGATGCATCCCAAAACCTTCTAAATTAACCATTAGACAACAGAATTAGCCAAAATCCTAGGCCATTGATTAGTATTTTAGTTGCTTTCAGCTCAGCAACTGCAAGTCTCTTCAAATACATCCCACTTAATTTGATTGCTTTTGCAATAGTTTACAATGTGTTTTTTTTTTTTTTTTGTCTTTCAGCTTCTGTGTTTAATGGTAAATATGGCAGTGAAAAGGAGTACAAACTGGAATCAGAGCTAGACATGCTTCTGGACCATCACCAGAGAGTTAGTGTGGCCAAATTTAAATGGCAAAATGCTCGTACCCTGTTGCAGCATGGCTGCAACCAACTGTCATTTGCTTGCAAAAAATGGCTGGAACTTTTAAAAGTACAACCAAAGTAAGTAATCTTGTTATTATCTATGACAATTTTGAAAAAGGAACTTAATAATGAAAGATATTTTGATAAAGTACAAGTAGCACTGAAGTATGTTTGATAGTTAGATTAAGATATTTTTGAAAAATTTCCTTCTTGTATTTCAAATTACTGCCATTTTTTTAAAGTGATGTACCAAGGAAGTACACCATAACAACAGAAACAAGAAACAACCTGATTGCTGCGTCCCAGAACATCACAAGTGCCCAGCGTTACCTCCACGGCATAACCTTCCCATACTGCACCAAAGCCGAGATGGACACCCTGAATAAAGCCACCACAAATATTTATTCGGATATGAACACAGGAGAAAGACACCAGCATGCTTATCAATGCTACATCACAACATACAAGAGGTGTGCTGCCCTGATACAGTGGTTTGACCATGTAAGTTAATATGTACTGTAAGCTTTTCCAAAAGAATTTCTAATGGAAATTAACACACAAATGCTCAGGGGCTGTATTTTGAAGAGTTCCATAGAGAATACAGGCCGAGTGTTTTTTTTTTTTTTTTAAGAAAAAATAGCCTTTTATATCTTCTCCATCCTGAGTAGCATGAGATTCATATCTTGTGCGTTTCTCCACAATAATACTACACGCAAATTCATGATCAGTTTTTGCTGTAATTCCATACTTACAACAGTGTATCTTGCATAGGTATTAGTTCTGTAGCAAGTACTATGCTACGTGTGTGTGGTAACTTTTACAATGAACTCCCAAAAAGTTAATTGTAGTACGATAACCAAAGGAAGGATGTTAGGGTTTATTTTGTATGTTGAGATTGCTCAGTGTTCATATTCATTTAGTCAATATTGTCTTATCATGAATTTTAGGTAATTAACAATACAATCAACAAAGATATTGCTAATGCCACTAAGAAAGTCAATGAAAAGGAAAAGGAACTGAGACAGGAGAGGGTAACCCTTCTCGTTGCCAGAGTGAAGGAGGTTCTGGGAACAGATGTGGACTTTACTGTGTCAGATGGTAAGTATTATATTACTGACTTTCCAAGAGATGGCCTCAACTGTTTTCCTACCCCCCCCCCTTATCCCCATGCCCACCCAACCCCACCCACACTCACACACAACCAACCCCACCTACACACACCCACACCCACGAGTGTTAACAGCAAAATCAAATAGACAGATTTTTTTGTGGGAACTATTTAATTTAATTTGCACTTTTATTAACTTTATATATAATGGACTTAATTTACCAAAAAGTGGTCTTACATTCCACATGCACAAATATTAACAAGAAGGTAGAAGGATTATTACATGATCTCCTCTTTATACATGTACATGTATACACTTCCACAACCAATTTGATTTTATTTTTTCAATTTTTACTGATATTTTAAATGATCGTATGCACATTCTGAATAGAGGTATGATGTTATATTGGCAACCCTAAATCATCATTAATAAAACTAATTTTACAAAAGTCTCACTTAAGTGCAGTTGCTGCAAGATATTGTGAGTTCCGAAAAGAAGGAAATTTCAAGTAACAATCCTTTCTTTTGTTTCTGCAGAGAACATGTTTGATGACAGTGTTGAAGAGAAGGAACTTGTGGACATTATAGATGCTGATGCAGTATCAACAAATGGAGAAGATGTGGAGGTAAATTGAAATATTTTAATGGGAAGAGTCAGATGCTCTGACTTTTTATTATGGTGTGCAAATTTCTCAACTCTTGGTTAAAGATAAAAAACTCTCTGTCTCTGACTGGTTATGAAATTTTCCATTTAATAGTCTAAACAAAGTCTACATAACAGACTGTATACATTCAATGTATTTTATTAATTCCATTTGATTGTTTAAATGTTAACATTGTTATTACTTACAGAAACCTGAGGGGGTCATCACAGGTAATGAACTGGCACCTGGTGACAATGACAGCATATCTGCCACGCCACTACCTCTGAATGAACTGGCACCACCTCCTTCTCAGGAAGACCTCTTTGGTAAACTTTCCTTATATATTTTTATTTTATTTTTAATTCCTCATGCACTTCTGTTAAGTAGGACGTAAGTGTATTTGCTGAATGAAGTCTTGTTTTCCTTTTTTAATATAAACAAAAAGCTGCAGTTCTCTTAAATGCTTTAAACACTTTCTGTAAATTTAAAAATTTTTGCGTAATATTTGAGCAAACGTGCAGATGCCATAAAACATTTTTTATAATGATAGATGCTCTGACATCATTGTTTGCCAAACAAACACATAAACAAAAAAGCAAATAAGTCAAAACATTGTATCTTAGACATTTACTTGCATAAACATGCATGCTCAGTATCTCCTTTATACTCTTTTTCACTGTAAAAATGTTGTCTTACAGGAGACATAGAGGAGCTGAAGAAACAACACGAGCGTGAGATGGAAGAATTCCAAAGAGCTCAAGAAATCAACAAAGCTCGTATGGACCAAGGTTTACAAGAAAAATTGAAAGCTAGGCGTAGTCGCAGACAAAGACAGGAGGCCTTGGAAGTCAGCAGTTAAATGAACAATACAGTATTAACTACCCTTAATGTGGTCTTAGAGTGTGGTCCAGTCCTTTACTTTAAGTCAAAGAAGTTTTGTACTAACTGCTGGTCTTTTGACCTAAGTAAGAAAATGTGAATTTGATATGTGAATTAACGTTCAAGTATACATCATTTTTTAATGTGTACTTTCTTTATGTATATTTGTTAATCTAATGTTACCTTATGTGTCATGTATACATTTAACATCAGTTTAATATAAAAGGGAACAAATAATTGTGTTGTAAACAAATGCAAGAGAACCATTTCTAAAAGTTGTGAACAGGGAGTCATGTTTTACAAGTCAGAACTTTGCTTTCTTTTTTCCCCATGAAAGTCATTATTGTAAAATAAATGTTTTAATTGCTTCCTTACTGAACACCGATTATTAGTATGGCACAAGGCATTTTATACATTGTATTTTTCTTATCTGATATTATAATCAAACAGATTAATATAAAAATACTTTTACAAAGTTACTAAGGCTCAAAAAAGCAATGAAGTGTAAAAATGCTGATAAATTGGTTTTATTTTGAATTTAGGTTCATCTTTTGTATTTTTTGTTCTATAACAATTGCACCACATACAGCTACCATTATATAGTAAAGGGTGTTTCAGGTGTAGCGTGTACATTGTTGTGGACCAAAAGGGTGCATTTACCGAGTATTAGAAGGACCTTGCAGAACTGTCATATAAAAACACTAGAAATGTAATATTTACCGGTACTGCTCTGTGATTTAAGGCATAACAGAACATTCTTAAGTGCATTACATGTACATAATATAATATAATTATACACTGACCAAAAAGTTTGGAAACAATGTTATTTTTAATAATTATAAAATAACCATATGAGCTAAGGTAAATATATATTTTAGCCAAATATTGATGGATAATGCAACTACCATTAGTTACATTTTTATATACACTGAAGATTTTCCCACTACATTACATAGTTTTTAATTATTGAAAAACAATTCCAAACTTTTTTGGCCAAGTGTATAATAGAATATAATTTGATATCTAGTAATGTGAGGTCTGATAAGGCCCACTATTGACATATTGAGGTGGTCTCCAAATATATAATTGACCAATGGCATAATTGCTGATCATTTTACCAATCAGAAAGAACACATTATCAACAATGCTAGATGACAGTGATGATGCAAATTTTGATGTTAACTTGAAGGACACTGACATTTATATTTCTTTTCTGAGGTCTGCAAAATGACATATTGACCTCACTTAAAGTCAATAATTGTATATATAGATATATAGATAGATAGATAGATAGATATACCACATTATACAATACTCTTTGTATAAAACAGGGTGTTAATATTAACCTTTTTCATTGTTTTTGCAAGGAGAGATTCACATTATTTTGCAGTGTTTTTACTGCAAAGAAGAAAGTTACTTAATAGGATTTACAGGTGACTATAATACATTTGTGCTTATATAATAATATTGTACATTTCCTTTTAGAAACAGTGGTGTCTATGCTATTTCATATCTTAAAAGGATAATGTAAATATATCTAAGGAGTTACTGCTTTGATTTAATGTACATGTACATGTTTTTTTTTTAATTTTTTGATTTTATTTGTTTACACAATTCCGTCCTCAGTATATCTGTGATAAATCATATGCCAAAATTTGATTGCATTTATGATGTAAATAATAAAGAAAGTAAAAATAAAGATGTGGTCAGATTTTAATTTGAAAATTTTCCCTTGCAAACTATGCCCATTATAATGTTGGTCCTTACATGTAGCAACTAGATGCTATAGTATAGGTTATATAATTATGAAGATTACTTCAACAGAGATTTTTAATTTTTTTTTTTCATTTCTGAGATGGCATTCCCAGCTGATATATTATACTTGTCTTTGTTTATACTATTACACATAGAGAAGCTCCCCTTTTCCCTTCATTCCCCTATTTGAAAACCGAGAAAAAATATTTCTTTTAAAGATAAAAAAAATAATAAAAATGTTAAGAAAAAATATTTTTAAAAAATGTTTAATTCATTTGGATTCTTTTCCCATACTAAATAAAAGTATAACATTTAGAAGATGAAATTTTATCAAACAAACCAGGTTAGAAAATGAAAAGTGGTATCGATGAGGGATGGGAGGGGCTTGATTCTGCATGGTGCGCTACGTTCTAAACTTTATACGTAATAGTTCCTTGAAAACCACTTTGATATCAGTAGCGCATTATGGCAAAAGACAACGGATTTAATTTCAACTGAACGGAAATACCAGAACTGATCTAGGAACGCTTCTGGAAGAAAGAGTTTTGAAGAAGGGAAGAAGTTAGCTTTAGATGTATCTTATTCGCCTAATTTTTTTTAGATATATCCTTGTCTACTATTCAAAGGGTGCGTGTCAATGGTGGAATGCCTCTTCCGTTCTATTCAGCCTGCAACGTTCACGATCTATCAGCAAGTTTAAGTTATATCACTTTTTTGGCAAACCAACTTTATGGAACTGTCCTGTAACTGTTAAGTACGACAAATCGCAGGTTTCATCAGGTATTATGAGATGTTAGCTTTTCAGTGCACGAAAATGGAACGGAATGGGAAGTCAAGTCAAGAAGAAGGGGACAGATGAGCAAGAATAAGGTGCTCCCGAGCTACATGTACATGGACTACCTGTAGAGAAAATATATCACTCCGGGAAATGCCAACGATACAGATGCGCCAATAGGTAAGGCAAAAGATGGAACGCGCCAATGGGTGTGGCCAAAGATGGAACAACTATTTTGCATTTTGCCCTACTAACGGTGTCTTAGGCTCTATTCCCATAGATTTTAGATCGATCTATCCCCGCGGGGAGTCTCACTAGATTACTTTCAGATAATCCGACTTAAATGTCCGTCTCACCTACTACAAGCTGTAAGGGGGTAATTAACTTTCGTGTCCGCCCGGCTGACAGCTACATGTATTTAGCGTGAACCCCCAGGGAGTTAGGTCGATCTAAAGTAGGTAGATCTAATCTATGGAAATGGGGTGTTAGAAACCTTAGAACACCCAGAGCTGTTCTTACTAAATCCGAACTAATTTAGTATAAACTTTCTCACACTTGAATGTATTCATCAAACAATAATTTGCCCTTGCCAGGGGTGAACGCACGTTGCATACAAGTGTTTTATATATATATTTATTGAACTACAAATAGCTCAAAATTAACAAACTTCACTTTATGCTATTATAGAAAAATAAATGAATCATCAACTTTAACTGTTATTACTATTTCTAACATTCAATAAAGGGCCTATTTATCAACGATTTATATCAAAGGAACGCAATATCAGAGTTATAAAAATGTCTGAGATTATGAAATAAACTCAAGTTTTTCTTTACAATAAAGAAGCCAACCAGTTGAAAATAGCCCTTTACTTTTAATTTAGCTCTAAACACCATGCTTTGTATCTGTTCTTCGAATATCTATTTCTTAATTATCATATAGACTTGCGTGTATATAATAGTTCTAATCAATATCATACCTAAACAATATCAGAACGAACGGACGACCTAGTTCTTGTATTACTGGTGGAATAACAGTCAGAAGAGCTGACTGTGTTCCTTCTCATAGGTTTTCTACCGGTGACCATTTCCCAAATTGCTTTCCGAAACTCTGGTAGCCGAATTGCGTATATGATCGGGTTTAGGGCGGAATTCAATGTGGCCAAGTTCATCAGGAAGAATCGAATAGTTATTGTTGTCGGCGTGTATTGAATAAGAGGAGAACTAAATACACCCAGCATTATTATCAAGGGAGCCCAACACGTGAAAAAACATGCAAGGATTAATACCACAGTTTTTGACAGTTTCACGTCCTTTTCTTTGACTGTAAAGTTTGACTGGCGAACAGCTCTCTCTATTCTGATGTACATATAGACGATACAAGAGGCAACAATGGTGAAGCCGGAGCAAAGTAAACTGCCTAAATAGTGTTCTGGAAGAACTAACGACATTTCGCAATCTTTATCTTTGTCATAGGACCAGTCTTTGTGCCAAACGAATGGAAGAATAAGGCCGACGAATGAAGAGGGTATCCAGACCGAAAGGCCGATGACTAAAGACCATTTTGCATAGTGCCGCTGTCGGTGTTTCAGAGGATGCAGAATGGCGTAGTATCTCTCAACAGTGATCATCAGCAAGGCAAACACTGTCGCCATACCCGGAAAAATCGTCAGACAATATCTCAGGATACACAGGTACAGCCACTTAATAGTGTCGAAAACCAAGAATGTCACAATGTGAAACACTAACAAAAGGCCGCCAATGAAATCTGTCACCGGAAGTTGGATCATCACCAAATTGCTTCTGGTCCGCAGCCTGCGAGCTTTGCAGTACGCAGCGAGCACCAGGGCGTTCCCAACACATATTAATGTCATTAGCAAGATAAACGCTGTCACCACCATAGGCTTGTACCACGATGACTGATAGTAGTAGTAAGTCGTTGTCTCATTACTCCCGTTGATCTTCAGGGCGTCGGTGGATTTCTCGGTTGTGTCATAAGATGCCAGAGTCACGTTAGCTTCACCAGCATCCATGGCGGAGGTTTATACCACGCCCAAGTATTCTGTAAGAAAGAGTTTTAAAATTCACATAGGGAAAGTATACTCGTAGAAACTATTTTTGCAATTTTTTACATGTACGACAATAAAAATCACGTGTCATGCCAAAATGGGTAAGTCGATTAGCAAGAATTATACAGCAATTGTAGAACAATTGTACACATTTAATAGTATAAATGAATTTAGAAATAACAGCAAGGGGTTGATAAATACGAAGGGATCGCATAAGAATTATTTTGATGTTATATTAGATAAATAGCCAGTTTCAAACGGTTTTAAAAGAGACATCTCAACTTTAGTAGAAGAGAAGGTGAATGCTATGAAAACACAAACGGGTGTAATCATCAATGTAAAAAGTGAGCGCATAAAAGTACTAAAAGAAAAGTCAGTCTTACATGTACTAAAGGAAAAGAAAAAAGTGCCGACAGGATGCGACAAGACAACATGATTTTTGCAACAAATAACATCCATATGCAGCCAGCTGTCAACGTTGCTCAACCCCCGACTCCGTACTTGAATACAGTCAGATTTATAAGCCCAAGCGGATCCGGAACGATCTTCCAAACAATGCCAATGAATGGAATGAGGACACCATCTATACCAGTAAACTGAATAAGGACTCCTCTTTTACATCCTGACCTCAACATTCTGTTAGGTAGATATGGATCAAGATAATATAAATAATATAAATATTCATTACTTAACATATGGATCATAATGAAGATTTCGCTGAGCACTCAGTAATTATGAAGGTGCATCTCTTTACGGTATGTTATCTAGCCGGTGCAGCGTTGCGTAGCAGACCTTTTCCGCCCCTCTGATCAGATACCTGGTGTAGTTTTAACTGTTTTTTAAAGTGCCTTTATTAAATGAAAGTTAGAAACCTGTCAAGCTGTACATCAAAGATAAACAACAGAGTGGAGTCAGCTATTGAACCAAGCCAAACAACTGAAGCACTTATACTATTTTAAAATAGTTTGGAAGCCGGTCAGGTAGCCTATGTACGTAATGACCTTCTGTGACAGCTGTGGACTGACCAAGAATTTGTTAATTCATCCTTTTGACCAAAGGCAAGACCAAAATCGCCACTTTCTACATAAGGTCTCAATTAAGATAATTATTTCTGTGTTGAAGAAGACCCGTTAAAAACTCACCCCTTTGACCAAAACCAAAACTACAATCTAACTAATATCGATTATAGGAAGAGCGAAACGTCATATTCGAATACAGTTCACCAAGGCCTTTTGATTATTGCCATAGAAAATTGAGTTACATATCTACGAATATTAGAGGTATATTCTCTTTGACTAACTGCATCCTTTGAAAATGATCAAAGTTATATTTGAGTTACCACTTACCAATATAAGAGTGTTGCAATAATCTACGAAGTGAAATAAGTTCCGTCTTCGTTTGGAGAAGATGCTGTTTACAATGGTGCGCTTTTCTATTGGAAGATCGACATCGTATCTTTACCTGTAGTCTCCACTTATTGAGATGTGTGGACACGGATTCGTGTCTCTCTAGTAACAGAGTATGGGCAAATACAAGGGTATAGGTACAAATCCGAAACTCTTACGACGTTTTTTCTTGTGAAACAAATGGAAATGATTGCAGCTTGAACATAAAGCCCTGCTTTTTGACAAGGCGCAAACGAGAACAGTCATCTACGCAATTAGTGTGTAACAGTTATCAGTACTCCAGTACACATTGTACGAAGGTAGACAGGTAATTATCCGCTCAAGATGTGGACACCCTGAGTTAAAGAGTTTACAGGAAAGCGAACCTTATTAGTGTGTTGCTATTATTATTATTATTATTATTATTATTATTATTATTATATGACACATTACTATATTACAAGCATCTGCAGTTTCCAGAACTGCATGAAGGTAGCCTCCATCACCAGCAACTCACTCCCGTTTCTACTACTTGAAACGGCAGAGATTTGCCGATAACAGAGTAAGTTTCCAGCACTATCTGAATCTTAGGGTAGCTGGCTATAAACATACGCCGAGTGATTACTGTAAGATACTGGCGGGGTTAGTGAATGGAATAGATGTTATGTGACCATGGCGATATACGCTTTATTCGGTTTGAAGGGTGTTTTGGGTGAATTGCGAGTGCTTGTTCTCGGTCTGTATGTCAAATAACACACTGCCACCTTCTCGCGATTTATGTCTTGAACAACCTCTCACTAATACTCGAGGTGTTCTGGGTGGAGATAAAAATGATTTTTGAGAATTGTAAAAATGTTCATACGTCTCTTATATGTTTTTGTCATACGCTGGAAAAGGGTTATTTCAAAATTGTGCTTATAACCGATTTAACGTATTGTGTTCTTATTCGTCTATTCAAACGAACATAAATAATTTGTAAACTCTTCACTCTTGATTCAAATAAATAAAAAACAACAATTAAAACCTGTAGTACTTGCCACAGAAGCCAAACTGAAGTAAGCGTGTAAACACCCCGTGGCTTTTATTGTAATTTTCGCACCAATGCAATAACATATTTTAACAAATCTTTTTCGCACATTTCCAACAGTATATGAGAAAAATAATAAAAACTAACACCCAGAAAATAGAAACCACAATTTTCATTATACACTATATACGTTTACTAGTTTGACTCTTGGCTGAATGAATAGTAACTCATAACGTCAGCTTAAGGAGACCTCATTTAAATAAATGAGTAGTAATCACTCCTGCGTTTATCATTGGCCAAAACCTGTGAGACTTATCATATACCGACAAAACTGAATCAATCATAAACCATATACAAATACATGTAGGGCCTACATCGATACTCAATTTACGCTAGGTGTGTCTGAGCCTTGAGATAGGCACGTGAATGCATGGTGTTTAAGACACTGGCAGATGACAGTCGTATTTGATAGTATATTTGTAAACAGATAAAATGCTTTGTTGTTCTCATATTTTTGTCTCCAAATTTACTGACCGGCATTGCTAGGTGAAAAAGCAGTTTAGTTCTTTACCACTGTCCACACATATAATGTTCAAAGCGGCACAAATAGAATTTGTTCAAATATTTCTTTTTTTTTTCATTTAAGCAACACCGAAAACACTTTGAAGATTAAAAAGCTACTTTTTTGTGCAGCAGAGAGGATTGTTTCCTAAATTTATCACGTAACCACCTCTGTTTAATGAGACACTTATTCCTCTGCTTTTCAGATCATGAGTCAGATTCCCTCATGCAGCTACCAAAACTTGGGGAAAAGACAAAAAATATCCAAAGTATTATGGATAAGCAGGCCCGTAGCCAGGAAGTTCGGGAGAAGGTCCGCTTTCTCAGCCGGGTCAGATGGTGTTCATTTTAACGTTAACTGAGGAAGTCTATCCTTAAAACAATTAATACAAACAATGCCCGCGGTTTAAATGTTCGGTATCTCGGTTCCTTTCGGATCAAGCTTCGTCCCATGACAACGGTCAGGATGGTACAAATACAAAAATCGGACGTGGTTTTGTCTTTGCCATTTCCTCGTTGTTACCGCAATTACTACCCTCCTTAAATGAAACTAAGAAAGAAATCATGTGACGGCACATTTTCGTGAATGGAGTCTCTCTTTCATTTCTAACGAAATCAAGAGAAAAGAGAGATAGATCGGGAGATTTTTTGGTCTGGATCGGGAGATCGGGAGATATGTCCCCAAATCGCGAAACTCCCGACGAGATCGAGAGTGTTGACAGGTCATACTGGATGTGGCGGGGGCTAATGGTCACCCCTAGTTCTTTTAATGCATAACATGACACTACAAATACACAAGCATTTAATTACAATTAAAATAAACACATTTAGTACCGGCTATGCCTGTGTCTGTTATTATTAGTTAAATGAATAGAAAGAGACAATCGCGCAATGTGCTCACACGAGTATCAAATTTTCAAACATCTCTATTCATTATCATGTAAACCACCATTGATCAAACTCGTCACCGTAATGACAATATTTTATCTAACTTGTAACACATGTAGAACACGGTGGTTTAATTTAGCTTCCAAAACTATTTATGAAAAGATTATTATGATATCATTACAATGATACACCCATTTTTTATCAGTTTGACCGTGCAGTGACAGTACATATCCCTTACAGTAGATGTCATGACCTAGTAATAGTAAGAAAACGATTAAATACCACACATTTCAAACTGCAAGTATACTGCTAAAAAAAACTATCAATGCAATCCCCACTCCCCCCCCCCCCCCCCCCCCTCCGTGTCATTTATACGGAAAGTCACCAGGTTCAGCTGACAAGGGATGATACTGAATGACAAGGTAAAAAGTGTGCGTTTAACCACATCATGTTACAATGACGAGTCGCATGATTTTGATAAGAACCAACCAGGAACGTGTGCAGCTGATACAGAGGATGATATATAAATCCCTTAGTTTAGCTGATTGGTTTCAATTTGGACTGGACTGTGACGAAGTGTAGACGTTCCCAAGGTACAGTTTACTTTTACCTTAGAAACACCTCTTGTAATACTTTTGGTGTAGACCAGCAC